CATTATTTTTATTCCGCGTCAGTCAAATATCAACAACAATAAGCTTTCTTTAATTAACCCTCAATTAACAGTTTTGCTTTTTTATTTAAAAACATAATGAGCTGTGTCTCCACCATAATGTCAAATTAAAAAGCCACATAAACGTGCACGGAAGCCTGTCAGCGTCAGTAATTAGTTTAATCTGGTCGCGTTTCTGTGGAGAATCTGTTTTATTTGCTGTGAAAATCTATAACAAAGTTGTAACAAGTCTACTTCCTGATGTGAAAAAAAAAGAAAGGCTTTATGGGGATTTCACATGTCTCCGCTGGGCTGCACGTCACTGTTTGGTCTATATTTGGGAAGGGGAGGCGTCCTGGCTCCGGGCCAGAGGCAGTGCATGCTGGGCTGGGGTGTAGTCACCAACACCCCCTCGCTCTTATTGGCAGCATCACGCAGCTTGGCCCGGGAACTTCAGATACAGGAACAGTGACTGAGCAGATGATAACTGGAAATAGATTTTTTTTTTTCTCTCTCTCTCTTTTTGGTAAGCATAGAAAGCATCCCTTTGTTAGTCCTATCAGAGCTGAATCATCGCTGAGTGTGAAGGAGCTGGAAATAGCAGTGATGTGTCAAAAGCAACTCACCTGAAATGTCCTGCTTTCTTTGTTCCCCTTAGACTGAGTACATGGATCACTGTGGGTCCTCTGTGAAGAGAAGGAGGCATGACAGCGAGCAGTCTGTCTCCAGTGGAATCAGCAGTTGTTCCCCTGGCCTCGAGTACACTGACCTGGAGGCAGCAGAGGCTCTGGTGTGCATGAGCTCTTGGGGCCAGGCTCTGTTCCTGAGCAGCAACAAGCCGAACCCCTGCAAGCCCAGACCCCTCACCCCGGCTTCAGACTCCTGCGACTCCCTCCTGCCCCCAGAACTCCCAGAGCCCCCGAAGGACTTTGTGTCCCTCTCCTCTTTGGTAAGACTGGTTTCTGTCATTATCCCACAGAGATAACCTGCATGTCATTAGTGAACATGTTCCTGCTGAGAGTTTGCATTGATTCTGCTGGCCTCTTCATGTGAACGTGTGAAGATAACTGTAAGCCTGTTTTATGACATGAGACGTGCTGCAGCTGGAAGAGCCAGCCTTGAGACATTAATGTGGTTGACCTTCACTCAGAGTTCCCTCCTGCAGATGCAGGGTCATAAAAATCCCAGTTTATGGCTCAGAGTGATTGTGATGCTTGTGTACCTACTTGCTATCTGGGATACTTATGTCTGCAAACACAAGTCCTTTTAGAACTGCAGACCAGGCTGTGGCAGTGCTATTGGGATACGCTTTAATTCTTCCACCATCTCTTTGCAGTGCATGACCCCGCCCCACAGTCCCAGCTTTGTTGAGACGTCATCGAGCGCTACACTCCAGCCGAGCGCCGGCCTGGCTGTGTCCACACAGCGCTGTGGGTCCGGCCCCCATCAACCTGTCCTGACACCCATTGCTGAAAAGACCCCCGCCCTCCCCTCTCCTCCACAGCCCTGCAGAGCCATGGCGACCAGCGTCATCCGCCACACCGCAGACAGAACCCTCTGCCAACACCACATTCCAGTGGCCCCCAATCCAGAGAAAACTAGAGACACAGTATCAGCTACAATGATCTGCCAGCAGCAGCAGCAGCAGCAGCAATGCATGACAAACGCTGAGCAGATAACCAAACTTCTATCTCTTCCAGCTCCACTCTTACCCTCAAAAACAGAACAGCCAACCAGTCCCTCAAAACCCTGTTTGGACAGTGTTTCCACCCCCACTCCTGTCAACACCCAACCACAAAACAGCACACCCACTACCCCTATTCCCACAACCCTGTCCCCTCCTCCAGTCACCAGCCCTCAAATCATCTGCCAGATGTTCCCTGTCAGCAGCCAATCGGGTATAATCTCGGCCTTCATCCCCAGTGCCGTTCAGACATCTAATGCTGGAATTCGGACTGCCACCACGCCCATCCTCCCCCAGCCCGCCTCAGCGAACACCGGCCCTGTCCAGCAGTCCCTCATCGTGGGCTCAGCGGTACCCCAGGGCACAGTGATGCTGGTTCTCCCTCAGTCCTCAGTTTCTCAGGCCCCTCACTGCCCTCAGACTGTCATGACCCTGGGCAACACCAAGCTGCTACCTCTGGCCCCGGCCCCTGTGTATGTGCCAGCAGGGCCCAGAGGCACCACAAAGATGGACTTTTCCCGCAGGAGGAACTACGTCTGCAACTTCCCAGGCTGCAGGAAGACGTACTTCAAGAGCTCGCACCTCAAGGCTCATCTGCGAACACACACAGGTGAGGTTTCACTGCATGTGTTTGGTTGATACTCACGAGGATGTGGAATAGTTGTGACTACCACCGATGAGTGTTGCATCCTGTTTGTAAAACATTCTTTCCTGGACCCTGTTGGTTCTGATGGGAAGACAGTGAGCTCATTGTTTTATGTCAGCCAAGTTCAGTGACGTGTCCAGTTTTTATGACTGCAACGTGACTCACTTGTTTTCTGCTTTTGTCCGTCTGTTTCCCTGCCTTAGGTGAGAAGCCCTTCAGCTGCAGCTGGGATGGGTGTGATAAGAGGTTCGCCCGCTCTGACGAGCTCTCCCGTCACCGGCGCACGCACACCGGCGAGAAGAAATTTGTTTGTCAAGTGTGCGATCGGCGATTCATGCGCAGCGATCACTTAACCAAACACGCCCGCCGCCACATGACCACAAAGAAAATTCCCTCCTGGCAGGCTGACGTTCGGAGTCTGAACAAAATGGCTGCTGGCAAAACACCTTCCTCCAAACCTGGCATTGCCACATTAAGCATGCTGGTACCTGCTGGCTCAAAGTAGATAATGAACAACTGCCATCCTGCCTACCTACTCCCAGTACACCAGAGGGACACAGGGAGCAGCCAAGCACACGAGGCTGCTGCCCTTCTACTCATGGGAATGATAATAAAAACATGCACTGGACTCTTTTCCTGCTCTACTGCTCATTTGTACATGTTGTCTTTTCTCTAAAAGATTCTTTGTTTACTTTGATATGATTGATGATGCACTCTTGCCAAAGCCTTTTTATGAAGTTTGTCTTACACATTTCACCTTCTCCACCTCTCCTACAACACTTTTTCTCTGTTTGTATGGATACTGATTGATATATATATATAAATATATGTCTATGTGAATGTACTGTTTGTTGTACTATGAATGCATTTATTTGTCTTATTTGGGAAAAAGTTGAAAAAATCTGTAAATATGAATATTAATCATCAGTACTATGATTACACCTTGATTATATCGCCCTGTCTAACTTTTCGTATTATTTAATACATATTTGTAATAAAAGAAAGAAGAAAAAAAAAGTTCAGTGAGTAAATCTTTTGTGAGCTTTACAACTTCTAATCCCAGAGAGGTGACGCGTGGGATTAAGATACAGTCAGCAATCTTTGGGTCGTGCTCATGCAGAAATGCAGCGAGTGGTATCTGCCCACATCCTGAGTGCGTCACGCCGACTCCCCTCCCACCATCGCCACCACCGCCGGCCCCCTCTCCGGTCAGCTGAAACTCACTCCTCTTCTTCCAAATGTGCTGACTTGCCTGTGGGTGTCTTCCTGCTGGCTGAATGAATTTTTTGGTGTTATAAAACCTCTTTTGGCAAGACCGTGTGGGGACATTGTGTCCTGTTCATCAGCTCCGAGCCAGAATGGTTGATGAGTCAGAAGAGACAGACAAGCAGCTCTGCCTGAATTGGGAGTTCATTAACAGAACATTCGAGCACAGTCGGATCCGTCTCATGGGAACAAGGAGGCGATGGAGCTGTGATTATTGCATAAGAAGCTCCTGAGTTTTACTCATTCAATTTATTTCTAATAAACACTCCACGTTCTTACAAGCTGTGCTTTTCATCAGCCCCCTAAATGACAGGACTATGAGAAAGATCATTTCAGAATTCACACTTGAACTGGACAAGAGGCAGTGTACTTTTTTATTATGATTATTATTATTATAAAAAAAATCCTAAAAATAAACTTAATAAAAGCTCCTGGACCAGGATTGGCTCCCTCACACACATTCATAAGCAGTGGTCCCATACCTAGTAACAGCACACCGCTTCCAATCAGACACAGAGAAATATGAACTGTCGGGGGTGCGACCAATCACCTCCCTTCCCTCTGCACCCGCCCATTTGCCTTACTGACCGACATACTGACTGGCCGGGTGCCACCTGAACGGAGGTCTGCAGGGACACCTGCTGGTATGAAGAGGCCACTTCACCATTTACAGCGACCGCAAAAAAAAAATCCTAACATTAAAAATATACCAGATAATAATGCACTTCTGACAATAAGCATTTAAATAACAAATGCTTAAGGCAGATTTTTGATTATTAATTTGTCTTATTAAGTGAAAAGTCAAATATCTACGCGTTGCATTGACATTGTATTATTTGAAAACTATGGGCTATGTGGTGTGATTTGTTTTATTCACATACTAATATACCATTATAGCATAATAAAGTGATTAATCAATCATCACAATCACCAACAGATAACCTTATAAACTGTAAAAATATCAAAATACCATCTGTGTTTACCCGTAAAGTTTAGAATCATAAAAACTGAAATTAAAAACATGGTTTTGAAATACAGCAAATATAGTTTCAGTAATAGGTTCACCAAATTTTTAATTTTACTCTAAAATAAGCTCCCAAAAAAGAATGTAAATTAATATTTTTTTAAGCTCTATAACTTGACAGAGGATTAATGTCAGCGGTTGAAAGGGAAGCATTGAATTACTGCAGTCAGAAGTTTTGATCAATATAAGATGTAATGAAGCTTTCTATGTAGATTAATATAGATTTTATTTAAAATTGATTTAAAAAACAGATTGACAATTATTTCCTAAATAATGTCACAATGAAAATATATATATTTTTTACACATTTCTGGGAATTTTCTTGCATTTTATTTAATAATTTGTTTCTCATTGTTTGACAGATTAATTCAATTTGAATAAGTACATGTGCAAAAAGTTTATGTGTTTAGTAAAAACATATTAATCATAATTTCTTAGTTCTAGTTTTCCTTTAATCAGTTAAAATCTCGTATCAATCAGAAACATGATTAAAATCAGTGGACAGCGCTTGTGTTTCCTGGGGGACGTATTTTCTTGATGCACCACCTGCGTTGCTATGGTTACATCAACACAACCGGACTGAAGTTTTGCTGTCCTCGCTAAAAACTGCATATTATTGCACCAAAAACGAGATAAAAGCCACAAAAGTTTCGGTTTATGCGTAAAAACTAGAATCAGAAAAGTTCGGCGGCAGGTTTCGGAACTTCAGCGGTTCGTCGGTATGGAGGTCAGAGACCCGCTGAAAGAGCTCGACATGACCGCGGAGGAAATGGACCGATTAACAAAAGCTCTCAAAGACGACAAATTCAGGGAAATGTTGCGCGACTACGCCCAAGAAATATCCGAGCCGGAGAACAGGAGGAAGTACGAAGCGGAGATCCAACTCCTGGAGCAGGAGCGAGGAAACAGCATCGAGTTCATCCACCCGCAGCCCTTCAGGGCGATCAGGACCAGCGTGGACGGCAAGCACAAGTGTTTCATCAACATCTGTGCCAGTGACAAGGTCGGGAAGCCTGAATCCAAGTGTGTCGTGTCGGAGGACGGCCGCAGAGGGCAGAGCTGGTCCCTGCCCCACAGCCTGCCCCCCGGGAGGCAAGACAGGGACCATAAAGGGAACCAGATCCTGATTTATGATGTCATTTTCCACCCTGACACTCTGCACATAGCCAGCAAAAACAAGAGATTTATGGATATGGTGGAGGGCACGGCCATTCAGGGGATCCAGGATGCTTTTAAAGTGTCTCTGGACAAAAACAACGTGAGAGAGATGAGGAGGAAATACAAAGGAACACCGCAGCCCTGTGTGATCCGAAAACCCATACCTGGGTACAAAGCCAAGGTGCCCTCGGAGCAGCCGGACCCCCTCGCCTTCCCATACCCGGATGAAAAAAGACCCACCACGCTCCCCGAAACAAAGCCCAAGAAAAACAGCAGTGAACCTACAAGCTTCCTGTCCCGGCCTCAGAAAGAGCCGACCAAGCCCAAGTACACGGTCAAATATCGATCCGTCATCGACCTCCAGGACTTCAGGTGCTCCAGAGACTCAGCCCAAAGCCCCAGGCCCAGAGAGATTGTGGTCACCGTTGACTTGCCGCTACTGAAGTCGGTCGCAGACACCAGCCTGGAGGTGAAAGAGAAAAGCCTGCTGCTGGAGTCCAAGGTGCCGGCCTACAGACTGGAGCTGCCTCTGGCCTACCCCGTGGATGAGGACAAAGGAGAGGCCAAGTTCAACAAGCAGAGGGGACAGCTCACCGTCACGCTGCCCGTCCTTCCTTCTCGTCTGGCCTTTGATTATTCTGCAGGTCATATTGAAAGTGATGGTGAGAGTCAGGAGGAGGACGGCAAGAAAAGAGAGCTGAAGAAAGAGGAGGGAAGACAGACTGAAGAGCAGGAGATGATGGTGGAGCATGTTGAAGAAGATGAGGGAAGAAGTCAGGAGGAAGGAGAAGAGCAGGTGAGGGAGGATGGAAGTGAGGACGAAGAGGACGCTGGTGGAGAGAAGGAAAGATGGAAGAAGATGGAAAGGAAAGGCCTGGAAAATGTGGAGGAGCAGATACATAACAAAGAAGTTGGACAAGAGCAAAACAAGCAAGATGAAGGTGGATGTGACCAAGCAGTGGAGAAAAAGGATCCTGATGTTGGAGATTCTCGGTGCGACAGCTCAGTTGAGAAACAAGGCCTTTCTGTGGCTGTTGAGGGCAGCATGGCGGCATCACCTGAGACTGAAAAACAAAACATTTTCATTTCTGCTGGACGGTCTTGTGACATCAGAGAGACGGAGGAAGTAAATCCAGCCTCTAGTTTGGAGTCAACACCCAAAGAGGAAAGTGAAAAGACAACAGAAGCTGGACAAGGAAGTACGCAGGTGAGATAAAAACCAACCATCAGGCCGGGCTGTGTGATCAACCTGCTAACTTCTTTTGTTTTTGCACCAGGTGGGAACAGATGCTGCGACTCTTGACCACTCATCCGGTGAAGAATCAAAGTCTGCTGCTGCTGCTGCTGCGTCTTTCACACCGTCTATGGCAACCACCACAAATCAGAACAATGATGAGGACTTCTGCAGCGAGATCCCTGCAGCAGAGGAAGCAAGGAAGTCAAGCAGAGGAGATGAAGACAAACAGTCCACCGTTTGCTCTGAGGAGGACGTGGACGTGGACGTGGACGACCTGCCGACGGAGCAGCTCTTCCCAGTGTCAGACAACAAGCCACCGCCGGTGATACTGCGGGAAATCGATGAGGATGGAAAGGAGACGGTCATCAGTGATCACTCCACATCTGCTGGGTTCGTCTTCCAGAACACTCTCCTGTATGAGCTGGACTGATGGACTTGACAGAAGACATGTTTTCTTAAATTAAACCAGTTATACGACCTTCTTTCTTCAGTTGCTTCATTGTAACAAATGACACAAATCATTTCAATAAACTACTTAAGACAAAACAATGAATACTTTTATTTATTTTTCATGTCTATATATATATATGTACTTATATATATATAAAAATTGTGGGTCAGTAGCACAGCAACAACCAACTCCCTTCAGCCATTGCTTTGTATTCAAGGACCCTGAGGCACTGTGTTCATAAAATTGATCTAATTTCTTTATTCCCATGCCGAATGGAAGTGGGTCATTAGGGGAACCTGTGATTTGCTCTAAAAGGCAGAGAGACAAGGAACAAGACAAGATGATGTGTCTCTATCATTACAGTCCCTCTGTGCAACAGAACAAAGATGTTCATGTTTGTCTCTTACCCCATTTTGATCTCTAGTAAGTGCCTTATACGTTGAATGTAAGGGTAAAACAAGCAGCTTAAAAACAAAGCTTAAGAAAGTCCACATCGTCCTTCCATCTAAAGGTATCATCACTGGGCTACTCTCTACTGCAGCTTCTTCTTCGCATCTATCCTCGTACAGTATCTCACAACCACTGCAGCACCGTTTCCAGCTGTTGTTGTTCTTCTGTCCAGTCAGTGTTTTTCCTCCTCATCTGATTCCTCTTTGGAGGGAGCTGTCCAGAAACTCAGAGTAGCAGGGCAGGGAGCAGAAGTGCTGCTGCACCGGAGCGTCCGTGCCTCCCATGTCGTCCACCAGCACCACCGTGTGAGAGACCTGGTGCAGGTTCATGCTCACCGCCGTTTTGATGTAGTAGCTGACGCAGATGCAGCCGCACTCGCAGGTCTTGGCTACTTCGAGGTCCCGGCACAAGTGTGCAGGGATGAGGTGAGGTCCGTACGGTATCCTGTGAAGGGAATCAGAAAGAACACATGAGTTTGTAAGCTGAAGAACTTCCAAACCACAGAGAGGCTTACAGTGAAACAGTATTCTGCCCTTTTCAACATTAAGTCATGGAGGCTTTTTTGGTTCTGTCTCGAATCAAAGTGAAAACAGATTTCTGCAAAGTGATGTTAAAAATATAAACTGTAAAATAAGTGATTGCATAAGGATTTACTGCCTCTTAAATGACTCAAAATAATTCAACATAGGGGCAGGAAATGTGTGCTAGAAGTCACGCAATTGGAGATCATCTGAGTTCAGTGAATGCATCTAAAGTGACTGTAGCATAGAGACACAGCTGTAGGTCCAGTCACTAGTGAGTCAGTGCTCCTGGTTACAGCCACACCATGAAGACAAAAAGCACTCAAAGCAACTCTAAAAGAAGTGATTGAAAAGAATTAGTCAGGGCATAGATACGAGACAATTTCCAAGTCACTGAGCATCCCCTAGAGTACAGTTAAACCTATTATTACAAAAACTGAAGACATAGGGCGCATCTGCCTACATCTTTAATAACTGAGTGACCGTGCCAGAAAGACATCAGTGACGGAGGCCAAAAACACACCCATGACTCCTCTGAAGGATTTACAAGCTCACTGTCATGCTTCACAATGCTGCTAAAGAAGCACGCCCACATCATGATGGTGCCGCCACCATGCGTGTTTGTGATGGTGTGCAGTATTCGGTGTCCACCAAAATTAGCATGTAACCTGATGGCCAAAAGCTCACTTTTGGTTTCATCAGACCTTCTTAAAGTTGACTTCAGAGTATGCCCCGTGGCTTCTGGTGAACTCTAGCTGAGATTTAATATGAACTTTTGCAGCACCCCGGTAGCTCCACTGATTAAGCGGGCGACCCATAAACAAGGCTACAGTCCCCGACGCAGCGGCCATGGGTTTGAATCATTTGCTGCAGGTCTTTCCCCCACTATAGGAGACAGAAGACTTTCCTTTCCTTTCACTTGACTGTCTAATAAAAGTCAAAAGGCCGCAAAAAAATTAAAAATACATTAGCTCTTTGCCACTCTCCCATGTATGCACAGTCCCTCCTATCGCAACCGCTGAAGCTTTTAACTCCTACAAAGGAGTCATAGACGTAATGGTGGCCTCCCTCGCTAGTCTCTATCTTGTACAATCACTAAGTTCTCCAGAATGCATGTGGGAGACTCTGGAGTTCACTGGAAGAAGGTTTTTTTTTTTTTGGTCTGACNGTGTGCTAGAAGTCACGCAATTGGAGATCATCTGAGTTCAGTGAATGCATCTAAAGTGACTGTAGCATAGAGACACAGCTGTAGGTCCAGTCACTGGTGAGTCAGTACTCCTGGTTATAACCACACCATGAAGACAAAAAGCACTCAAAGCAACTCTAAAAGAAGTGATTGAAAAGAATTAGTCGCGGCATAGATAGAAGTCACTGAACATCCCTTGGAGTACAGTTAAACCCATTATTACAAAAACTGAAGACATACGGCACATCTGCCTACATCTTTAAAAACTGAGTGACCGTGTAGGAAAGACATCAGTGACGGAGGCCAAAAACACACCCATGACTCTGAAGGATTTACAAGCTAGTATTCTCAGTCATGCTTCACAATGCTGCTAAAAAAGCACGCCCACATCATGATGGTGCTGCCACCATGCATGTTTGTGATGGTGTGCAGTGTTCAGTGTCCACCAAAATTAGCATATAACCTGATGGCCAAAGCAAAGCTCAATTTTGGTTTCATCAGACCTTCTTAAAGTTGACTTCAGAGTATGCCCCATGGCTTCTGGTGAACTCTAGCTGAGATTTAATACGAGCTTTTGTAGCACTGCGGTAGCTCCACTGGTTGAGCCCATAAACAAGGCTACAGTCCCCGAAGCAGCAGCCATGGGTTTGAATCATTTGCTGCAGGTCTTTCCCCACTACAGGACAGAGGAAGACTTTCCTTTCCTTTCACTTGACTGTCTAATAAAAGTCAAAAGGCCACAAAAAAATAAAAAATACATTAGCTCTTTGCCCCTCTCCCATAAAGATTTAACTGGAGAAGAACAGTGCACAGCCCCTCCCATCTAAACCGCTGAAGCTTTCAGAGGAGTCATAGACGTCATGGTGGCCTCCCTCACTGGTCTCTATCTTGCACAGTCACTAAGTTCTCCAGAATGCATGTGGGAGACTCTGGAGTTCACTGGAAGAAGGTTTTTTTTTTTTTGGTCTGACAAGACCAAAAGTGAGCTGTTTGGTCATCAGACTAGACGCTGTGTTTGGTAGACGCTAAATCCTGCACATCATCACAAACATACCACCATGTGGGTCATAGCAGTCACGGCTCGTCTCTTCCTGGTATGCTCACTCTATTTTTACGGACGACCTACTCGTGGCAGATTTATGCATGTGTCATATTCCTTTAATTTCTAAATGATGGATTTACTCTAAGAGATATTGAGTGACTCGGACATGTTCTTGTGATTTATGCTTTTCAATAACCTTTTCATGGAGTTGCTTGGAGCATTGTGTAGTTAAAGCAAGAAGTTCTGATTCACCAGTGACTGGACCTTCCAGATCCAGGTTTCTTTATACTACAGTCATTTCAGACACATTCACACTGATTGTGGGACTTCTAGCTCTAATTGGCAGCACCTGTGGGGTGCTGCCAATTAGAGCTAGAAGTCCCTTAGGTGAGTTAAAAGGAGGTGAACAGTTATGCAATCACTTATTTTACATTTTTAAATAACTGAAAGCACTTTGCAGAAATCTGTTTTCACCTTGGCATGAAAGTTAAACCGACCATGGGTGTGAATACGTTTATGTAAGCGTGATGTGCAACAGGTGCTTCAGTCTAACCTGAGATTGGCCACAGCTCTGGAGGCGATCTCTTGAAGAGGAAGGGGGAATGTGAGTTGCATTTTGTTATCCAGAGGGTTGGGCTGGATAAACGGATTTCCAAACAAGTCCAGGTTCTCCAGGCTCAGCTTACGGAAGTCGCCGGGCAGCGCGGCCAGCTGGTTGTGCGCCGCCGACAGGAACCTCAGCTTTGAGAGTCGGCCGATGTGGAACGGCAAACACACGAGTTCGTTGTCGTCCAGTTTGAGGTTCACCAGCTCTCTGAGCTGGCAGAACTGAGCGGGCAGGGAGTGCAGTCGGTTCTGGCTGATGTCCAGGAGCTGGAGGGTCCGCTGCAGGGTGGACAGGCAGAGGGCCTCGCTGAAGGCTTCCAGGTGGTTGTTGTGGAGGATGAGTTCAGAGAGGCAGCTGAGGTCACCGATCGTAGCAGGGAGCTTCTTGATGTGGTTGTTACTGAGGTCTAGTTTTCGTAGAGCTGGAAAAACACAACCAGATAAGAATGGTGAGAATCTACACAGCGATACCCTGATGTTTCATCTCAAGCTCTTAAATTACTGAACCCCAATATGTCTTTAATGTATAACCACATCTCCACATGTAAGACTCTCTAAACAGACAGAATGCACATCAAGCACTTATAAAGCTCCACGGGCCAAAATATAGGCTGCAGTGCATCGTCAACAACTTCCCGCGACTCGTTTTACCTTTGAGGGACAGCATTCGCATGTCCACACGTGACAGTTTGCAATATGAGACCTGCAGCTGCTCCAAGGAGTAGGGGAAGTTCGAGGTAAGCGGGTAGTCCTTCTTGGAGACGATGGTGAGCTTCTTCTTGGGTTGCTCTACGTCTCTGGCCCGAACGGGAGTGAGCGTGGACAGAGGAAGGCTGCTCGTGTCGGTTCCCCTGTCGGCCAGACGAGCTGCCGAGAGGAAGTTCTTCAAGCTGTTTGCATCGGCCTGAAAATACATAAAGTTACAGAGGAATCGTTAGAAGAACAGATGAAGCAGACTTTCCCTCCCTGCTTATTATTATGCTTAGTTATGCTGCTATGGGTTTAGGCTGCCGGAGGAGTCCCATGATGCACTCTCTACTCTCCTCCCTCTTTTTTTTCCATACAGTTATAACCACCATTACATATCTGTGTTCCCCCCGAGGTCCTGTGCTTGTTCTCTCTGCGGGTGTTTCTGGACGTGCTATCTTCACCAACCTCTAAAATGTTCAACGTCATCCCCACCCCAACCACTCACACTCTCACCCAACCAGTCGAGGCAGATGGCCGTCTTCCCTGAGCCTGGTTCTGTCAGAGGTTGTTATTTTTTGGTTCCACTCCCACCGCCGCCTACTGTGTCGTCATAGAGGATCCAAAGGCGACTTGTTGGGTTCTTCAGGTCTTTGGTATACGGTTTTCTTTTTTATCAGACAATGAGTATATATAAGTAGGAACTGTTTCTACCTCATCTGTTGTCTTTATCAGCCGGTGGTTTCCTGGACACGTCACCACAGACGTCAGTGACGTTTCTGAGGAAGACTGAAGTGTCAGTCGAAACATGTCCAAAAGGTAAAAGCAGCTCCTACTTAAATATACTCATCGTCTGATAAACAAGAAAACCGTATACCTATAATCAGAGTAGACAAGATGAAGCTAATTCAATCAAGGTCTTTGCCTGACTATGCTAAGTGCTACCAGATGATATATGTTGTGAATTGGCGCCCCATGAATAGAAATAAAACTGAATTGAAACGCTAACTTCTCAGGTGACGGGTTACCTTGAAATATCTAACCTAAATTCACCGGCCGAGAATATCCTGACACAGTTCTTCTGAATGAAGCACGTCAATCTGTTGGGAATTAAAATGTGAGTCGGAAAGGAGATTACAGGGGGTTGAGCATGAACACCTGTACTGTGTTATGACATGTAAATGGAGGTTAAATCACTTCCATAGTCATGTTAGTGAACCTCGTTTCTGCTCATGGTGTTAACAACATTCTGACCCAGTAGGCTAACTAAAGTTTGGTGACTCCTGTTGTCCCCGATCATCTGCTTCTTGTCGTGCTTTTTCTAACAACACAACATGTTAAACAGTCAGTACGCCAACAAACGGAAACCATGAGTCTGCAATGTACCGGCATCGAGTGCAATCAAAACACCAGTATGTGTGTGTGTGTGTGTGTGTGTGTGTGTGTGTGTGTGTGTGTGTGCAGCTGAGCCCGACTCGATTCCTGTAAACTTGAATTTCTTGTTCCGAACTCGCACACACATAAAAAAAAACAAAACAGAAACACAGCCCTCCTAATAAGCACTTTCCTTCTGACACAGGCTGTAATTACGCCACGCTGGATGCCGTACCTTGCTCAAACAAATGTCAACAGCAGGTTCCTTTAATCTGACGGTGGCCTTGCCTTCGTCCACGAACCAAGTGAAGAACTTCTCTATGTTGCCTTTCAGCTGCAAGAGAAATTGGCAAACGTCAGTAGTGGAAAAATACATTTCATCACTCCGGGGCGGGCGTGCATCATGATTCAACTCAGAGCGATTCAAGGCTCGAACAAGCACAGGCAGGAAAAGTGACGGCATTTCAGCTTTTCTGTCAACAATCGGGTCGACGGAGCTTTGACCTTCTAAATAAGGTTCTGAGGAGCCCTTTACTGTCTTGGTTCTGACCGTGACAGCAGCTTGACTAGGATGTCTAATCTTTGTGGCAAAGATAATGAATAATTCAAGATTTAAGTGACTCGGGTGGTGGTTGTCTGTTTGGATAACGCTCGTCTGAACTTTATGGACACAACTCGTGACCAAATAAGCAAATATTATTATCATTCATTCTGTAAACAGGAAGCGTTTCCATTTCAGAAAACGACTTAAACCAGTAAACGGTAATGGGAATGTGTTTTTATATCAGGTATTTATGTTTGTTATTGGAAGAGCAAAAGAGGCGTGTGGCCGATAAAGTGAACACAGACACTAAAACGCTTTGCTGCAGTTTCTATAATGTGATGCATACATTTAACACAATATCTTATCATGTCCACAGGACGAGGAACTCAGGATTTCAGCCTCTAACTGGGTCACAGACTGGGTCTCAAAGTGTATTAATATATAGATATTCACGACACTGAGGCTTCATCACATGGTTCTCCATTTAGATACTGAACTTGTTTGTAAGATATAATATGTTTACATCAGTCAGCGCAGACTGCAGGGATTAATTCTGAGAAATAAATGACTGTATATTTGAAGTTTTATTGAACAGAAAGATTACTCCTTCTCGAGTCGATTACGTAAGGTATTAAACACTAAGAAAATGAATGGAGGAAGAGAGTTAAAAGCCAAAGGGACCAGTTCATGAACATTATATGAATGTTTTTGTCCCTACTTTCACTTTCTATTGGGTGGTACTGCTGTACTTTGAACTACAGCTACTTTACATGGTGCTGACATCCTTTGATTCCCATATTTTAACCATAAATGTACATATATAGGGACAACAGAGGCCACACACACCCTGTGTAAACACTAAATAAGCAATCAGAATATGTATGGAGGCAGAAGTAAACAACAACAACAACAGAACCACACACACCTTGTACTTGGACCCGGCTCTGTCCTTGGCGGTGCAGATCATCATGTAGATGTTGCTCCGTTGGCTCGTCTTGTCCAAATGCTTCCCGATGGACAGAACCGCTCTCGTCCCTTTGCCCCGACTTTTCATCCCGAACGAGGGCAGCATCCGGCTGACCACCTCGACATCACACTGCAGCTTCATCGCAACCAGAATTTACCGAGAGACCCGAGTCCGGCTCAGCGCCGAGTCAGAGCGAAGGACGGGTTTCTGAACGCATACCAGAGAAGAAGAAAAAAAAAACTTCCGCGGAAAAGTTACGCTAGCTGCCGAGTTGGTGACCCAACACCGACGCATCCGTGCCCGTCATGGATGTCAACAGCCGAGCAGCCCGGTTTTAGCGAGCCGCAGCTGCAGCTACACGGCCGCCGGAGGAGCTACACCGCGTCTACGGCGGGAATAGAGAGAGCTCGGCGGCTATCTGCGGGTTTCTGGGCCGTATTTGGAGTCGCTGCGGGTCGGAGGTTTCTCTCTCTGCTGTCAGTTGGCTGTTAGCTGCCGTTAGCATTGACCCGCGCGCGCGTGGGAAGTGACGTCAGGGGGGGCGTGTGTTAAGACGGTCCGGGCGCGCGAAGAACTCGTTGCGCCGGACAGGAAGATAACAACAATAACAACAACAACAACAACAACAACATCAAGAACAAGAGCGTACCACAGCGATTTAAATAAATAAATTAAACAAAAAAAAAAAGAGAGAGAAAAAACACATCAATTTAAAACGCACTTGTCAAAAAACTGGTGGCAACAATAATAATAATACAAATAAATAAACAGAATATAAATATAATAAAAACATATTGACTTTAATTCTAAATTAGTGAGGTTAACCTAATTATGACTATGTAGGATTTAGTTCTAATATTTAAATTACCTCAGTTTCCTCATTTGAAAAAACCTACTTATCAATAAAACTGATGATGATAATAATAATAATAAGAAGAAGAATAAGAATAAGAATAATAATAATATACTAAGTCAAATTCCTCATATATGAAAACCTACTTGGCAATAAAATGGATCTTAATAACAATAAAAGTCATCATTATCATCATCAGAATGATAATAATAATAAACTTTATTTCTACATTACCTTTCAAAACAAGAGCCTCAAGGTGGTTTTAAAAAGTAACAAAAAATGCTAAAAAAACAAAACAAACAAAAAACAAAAGGCATTAGGAAAGGACATTTTACTGGAGATCTCTTTCTGTTTTTAGAGAGTTGTTGTGCTCTACTGTCACGAACATAAGTAAGGGCAATAAAAAGAACCTCAGACATAACAAAAATAACTAACACAGCATAATGCACATAAATATTAAGGTAAAAACCAAACTTGCTCAGAGGGACTCCTGTGATTTGTTGGGTTTTTGTGTATGTTTTGGAGTGCACTTTAATTCTTAATTAGTGAGTTAATCGTTATGCTTCACAGGACTGTAGGGTCTCAGACCTAATATTTACTGCAGTCGGGTAAAGTTGTATTTGATATAATATTTGGTGAAGATAAAATCTTTAATATTTAAATGACGCAGGTGAATTCATAAATAACACTGTGGGGTGTTAACCTCAGTATGTACACTGCTGCATTAGAAGAAGAAAAAGAAGCCTTTATGTGTCACAAACACGTTTCAGTTCTGTTAAATTTCCTTCTCACGTATCCCAGTCGGGGTCAGAGTGCAGGGTCAGCCGTGATAACTCGAGCAAACCGGGTCGAGGGCCTCGCTCGAGGGACCAACAGTGACAGCTTGGTGGAGCTGCAGCACCAAGACACCGCCGCCCCCATTCAAATGTGATGTACACATAATGGTGACATGACCTGACACTTGAGTATCACACAAACGCTGGTCTCTACAGGTGGGTTTATCAAAGCTTTTAAACTGAGGCTGACGGAGCTGTTCTGAGCAAACTCAACTCACTGATAAAGTTTTTGGATGTGAGACGTCTTCTAGAGCTCATTAACAGGTGGCCTTTTACTTACAGGGAGACAGTACAGGTAAACACTGTAAACATGTTTCATATTTGTTCTGAAAATGTTTGTTTAAACATACAACTCAACTATTATTTGTCTAGAAATGCTCTAATTTGCAGAACAGAAATCTGAACACTGGATGATGTCAGCTTCAGTTTTTAAAATACAAATTGCAGTCAAAGTTTTTTTTTTTAATCACTCTTTTAATGAGGAAAACCATCTGTTTTCACCATCTTTTTAGCAATAAATTTGAATATAAATCAGGCTATGGATGGTGTGTGAGCGGACGAGACAGACAGGAACGTTTGGTGCTGCTGAACTGGAGATTTCTGGCTCAGAATTTTGAGACAGCAGCCTTTGATGATATGTGTTATAATTGAAGTTTATAGATGCAAAAGTTCTGTAAAATTAATACCCAGATGTGCCGTTGGAATGTCTTCTTTGTATTAATCAGAAAAAAGGCATGTGGTGGAAACCGAATCTTACAAATCTCAGCATTAACATAGTGTCTCATTCATCTGTAAGTTAGCATTAGTCTGGTGGATAACGGGCTGTTGGGAGGACGGATGAGTGTATGAGGATGTTTAAAAAGACAGTTGGTTGAAATGTATTACATGCTATCAGGATCATGTAATCAGATTACAGAAAAAGTACTTGTACTTAGAAATATTTCTTTGCAAGGGTGCCATCTAGAGGCCAGCAGGAAGAAGAAAAAACAACTGATGGCCTGGTGGTGAAAAAGTAAGTTGGTTGTTCAAACATCCATGATTTACATCTAACAGTTTGTATAAAGGATGCATTGTTGTAAACTACCACAAGCTACAACATTAGCTAAAGGATTAAAGAATCAAGGGACGGCTGTGGCTCAGGTGGTTGTTGGAGGTTGTCGGTTCGATACCCCGCCCCTCCACAGACGAAGTGTCCTTGGGCAAGACACTGAACCCAAAGTTGCTCCCAGTGGCAGGCAGCAGCTTGCATGGCAGCTCTGTCGTCATTGGTGTGTCAATGTGTGAATGACAAACACATTGTGAAGTGCTTTGAGTGCCGCTAAGGTAGAAAGGCGCTGTATAAGTGCAGACCATCTACCATCAATAACTCCATTAAGTCACACTGATTCTTTATTTTTCCTCAGATGACCTTCACTCCTATCAGCATATTCGAGTCTAACTTTCTCTCCTTTGAACTCATCCCTCTGCCACAACACAAACACTGCTGCCATGTCTAAACTAGAAATGTACTAAAATGGGGTTCATGCCCCAAAACACCCAATTCTACTGTTACATCCAGCTGTAGCTTCGTCTGGAAAGGTCATATGTTGGAGTCTCTGACGTTACCAAGCAGCCACACAACAAAACATAAAGGTGTTATTATTCCCAGACCAGTTTAAACGGCAGCTTCTTTATTAATCTGCTCTTCCCTCTGGTGTCATTGGAAGCAAAGCCCACAAAACTATCTTTAGTGTTTCCTCGCTGGCACTCGAGGACAGCAGACGTACCAGTGAGCTGTGAGACTGAGACTGTGTGACATTGTCGCCTCACATCAGCGTGATCACAGACTTTTTTTTATTTAACTCTTCTTCTGGTCTCGTCTTCTTCTCGTCTTCTTTCCTTCTCACCTTCTACTTCCAGGACCGGAGCAGCAACGAACATCAACAAGCACCGAACTGCATCTGCTCATCACCTTTTATTAAAAAATGACCTTTTTTTTTATGATGTCCAAGATTTAATCACATTTTGAGAGAGAAAATCCTCTTATCTTGCCTTTTTTTTCTGGTTTAATGCATTTAAACACTGAAAAAAATCCATTCAAGTAAACTGATTAAACCAGCTTACACGTAACTTTACATCGATATTCAACACTTAGATGCAACAATCCTTCACATATACGTTTATTGCTTTTATTTCAACATTCTCGCCATGCTCTCTAATCCACGTATCGCTTATTTTCTGTTGTACGTTTTCAAAAAAAATAACAATACAAAAATAAAAATACTCATGTCTTTGGTCTTAACTTGATGCCTGTTAATGAACTAATAGAAAAGATGTTTGGTAACAACATGCAGCTTTCCATATTTCTTTAAATGCCTCTAACTGGACCAAGTATCAGGTGAACTAGCTCTGACTCCTGTGATGAAACGTTTCTGGTGAGTGCAGGTGATGAAAGCAGCAGGACGCTTCAGATCATGCATCGAGGAAACTATGACGAGACGAGTCACAGCCACGAATGTTTTCATGAGACGACTCGGTGAAACTGGGTCGTTAGATCTCAAATCATCACATTATTAGAACAATTTCTGCTTCCGTCATCTCTGATTTGCCTGAAATGTCGCATAAAGTATTGAGATATTTGTCAAATTTAAGCTTGATATATTCAATACTTTCTGAGATAAATTCGATCCACTTTGAGCTCGTTTTTTTATGCACTGAAATTTAAATATCTCAGGAACTTTCAAAGACAAAGGCCAGAAATGTCCACTGTTGTTTCTCACCATGCCGTTGATTCTATATTCTATATATTTAGTTTTGTATTATTGTGACGTGCAACTACACATGGTTCAGAAAATATCACTTGTTGACTGCTGCAATATAATTTTTTGTGTACAGTGTGTAAAAAAAGTTTCAGGTTCTATTGTCTTTTTTATCATTGAAGTCACACATAATCACTATTTTATCCAATATTGCAGCTTCTGGATCAGTGGCATGATGAGAAATAACAGTGAACATTTCAGGCTTTTATCTTAAATAGTCCCTGAGATATTGTGGTTCAAACACACTAAACCTCAATATTTTGAAGAAAAACTGCTCAAAGTGGGTCGATGGGAATGTTTCCTTTTTTATTATCTCAGAAATGACTTGATAGATCAACCTTAAATTGCCCTCATACCATGCTAAATATCCAAAGTTTAAAATAAAATTAAAAAAAAAACAACTTTCAGACAAATCAGAGGCAGTCTCCAGCAGGATGATGTGAGACGGAATGACCCACATGTGAATGCAGGTCAACACCATGACTCTTTGTAACCGTGTTCAAAAATAGAAAGTCTGATAAAAAGACTCTGAGTTTGTTTTATATTGTATTTACAGTGAAATTTCCTGAAAAAGCACATTTTCTCCTCTAGTCTCCATAGCGACCAACCCTCAGTCACTACTGATGCTTCACAGAGCCGTCTCCACGCACGACGACCCCCTCCGGATGTAGTAGCGCCTCACCTCCCTGCCGTCCTCGCTGCCCTCAGCCCGATGCACGATGAGGACGGGGAAGAAGCGGGCGTCCCTGTAGGTGGGCGGGCTGTCGCTGAGGGCCAGCTGGCTGGAGTCGGAGCGGCAGCACTGCTCGTCCACGCAGCAGGGGTCCGTCAGGTTGCTGCTGCGGCTCCTCCACAGCGCCACCGTGCGGTGGGAGCCGTACATGCGGCAGAGGGAGAAGCGAGACGTGTCCGAGGACAGGTGGGAGTGGAGGAGCGCCCCGCGGCAGGAGAAGATGGACGAGCAGCTGGAGCTGGTGATGGTCCTCCTCCTGCCTCCTCCGGCTCCTCGTCCGTTCTGCTCGCTGCACTGCTCGCAGTCGTCCTGGCTCTGCAGAGCTCCGTAGCTCTGAGCCGTCTGACTGCCGTCCAGCAGGACGCAGTTGGAGGACGAGGTGTCCTGTAAGGAGGTAGAGTCTGCCGTGCTCATGTTGATCAGCATCGCCTCCGAGTAGCTGGGGATCACCTGGCGGTTGCAGCGTATGTGCCACTCCATCTCCGTGCTGTCCAGCGTGTCCACTCTTGGAATCGTGCATGTGGCGTTATTCCCCCCCACGTTCCTGTCTTCATCTGGAGACGGGCTGCTGTGGATGTACTCCAAGCCAAACAGTTTCTCTATGCGGTAGTGCACATAGGCAGTGCGGTACTCGATGAGCACCCTGAGAGGCCAGGACAGCATGAGCAGGGCTGCCAGCCAGAAGGCAACCTGGGAGGAGTACCAAGGCATCCTGTCTGGGTCCACGTAGGCGATCAGGTTCTCTCTGAAGTCCATGTTCTTCAGCTGCATCCCCTCCCGGGCCTCCATGTAATCGTCCAAGCCTTCGATTTCGGAGAAGAACCTGGCTCTCTGGTTGAGGTAATCGTTTTCTGGACCTGCCTCGGTGAAGCTGAAACACTTGGTGAAGCGCAGGCGAGTCGCCGGATGTCCCTCCAGGCCTCTGAGGTCACGGGACACGTCCTTCATCCCGCAGTGGCTGAAGTCGAACTCGCCCTCGGCCACGTGGGTGTTGACCCGGTCGTGGTACACCTGCGTGGTGGTGTAGGCGTCCCCGTTACGGTACCGGGTCACCTGCCGAGTCCGTCGCACGAAATGGTAGCTGATGGCCTTCCACCATATGCAGGGCTGGGCCTGCTGCATCCGCAGCACCCGCTCGTACACGCTGTCCACGTCGGCTTTGCACTGCAGCTCGCTCCGGGCCCGGCAGTGCCAGCACTCCACCATGTACAGCACGTAGAGCATGAGCAGGAAGGCCAGGGGGATGTAGATGTAGCCGTCGGAGCAGGGGCTGTCGTGGTAGATCATCGAGTGCCCTCCGACGCCCATCCCGGAGGCTCCTCGCAGGGAGGAGGTGAAGGAGGCCGTGAAGGAGGAGGTGAGCGCCGAGTTGAAGCTGATCTTGGTGACCCGGGTGAGCTGACACCAGGCCACCACGCCCAGGCAGCTGTACATGAGCAGGGAGAGCAGCAGGCAGCGCCAGTGGGACTCCCGGCAGACGCAGGCGCCGAGGGACTGCTGGACTGGACGCTGCTGCAGAGAGAGAGAGTAATGAGGGGAAAGCACTTAGAGCAATGAACCCCTGGAACATGGCGGTGATTTCATGACTTGCAGCACAAATGCAAATGAACGTGGGCGCGCTATAAATCGCAGAGCTTTCCCGTACCTAAGCACAAAGTAAATCAAAGTAAAGAAAGCTCGGTGGGATTCAATTAAACGTGGTGGCGTTCCCTGTGAGGCAGCAGCAGACAGATAAATATGACAGAGGAGGTTTCACACATCTGTCTCTGGATTTAATTCCATTTCTATGACATGAGGGCGAACACACCTGCTCGTAAAGTTATCACATCAACAGCACGCTGTAACAGGATCCTTAGAACCTAAAAATCCAAAACACTGAAAACATTTAATAAGGATTCATTGGGTTTGATTGTTAAGACAAAACTGCATCGAGGGCAGATTTTATAGTGACAAATATTAGTATTAAAACATGTAACGGGGACACTTTAATGAGAAGCTGTAGAATGTCGTCTGCATATTAATCAAAATCGACGCAGAATAAAACACTGGAGGTATGTAACTAAATACATTTACTCGAGTACAGTTTTGAAGTATCTGTACTTCACCACAACATTTCAATTTTAAGCTACTTCTATTCTACTGCATTTCAAAATAAAGTTTGTACTTTTAACTTAAACATATTTATCCTTCAGCTGTTTGTTACTTGGAATATAATAATTATTGATTAGAAATCATACCGTCAATCGATTAAAGTGACAAATTGCTATTGATTAAACCATCTAACAGCACTTCAATCCTGTTCTACTGCACAGCTGCAGTTAATTTTACATACCTTAAGGACATTTTATTGCTTTTTCTGGAGTGACATATTGAGAGTAGGATTTTTATTTTTCATATGAAGAGTTCATTTGCAAAAACAGATAAACAGAAAACTTGTTTTTTATCTGTTTGCATGAGATAAAATCAATCAAACTGAAGCTGAGTGGATGTGAGTCAGTAGAAATGACAAAAACAGAGATAAGTTTGATTGATGTTGTCTCAGGTAGAAGTTCTGAAGGTTTGTGAAGCTGGAGTTATCTGTTTCTGCAAATGAACTCTTTATATTTTCTCATAATATCTTTATAATTTGGTTTTGCCAGTTGTACCTCAGTGAACTCTCCTCCCGTTGCTGCTCTGCTTTACCCACTGAGCGCTGGCCGGTCAGCTCAGGGCACACGAACAGAAACAGAAAGTGCTCCCATTTGCAATACTGAGCAGCAGTCAAATGGTCCCATTCAGCAAAGACAGTGGCTGAAGGCTATTTCATCAGTAAAAGAAGCTCCAGCGTGCGTCCCGTCATGCAGAAAGAGCCCAAACCAGCACTGCAGCATTTTATTGTAATTAATTTGATGACATCCCGTCGGGGGGATTTATCAAGACTTCCCAGTAATATTTTGTACAAATATTTTCTGTCTGGTTCTTGTGGTGACATTCTTCCACATGACGTCCTCTGTTGTCGACTACCTCCTGTGTTTTATGGAGTGAAAGGATTTATGCTGACAACCAGCCATCCATTACTGCACTGACACAGGGGTGGGGATGTCACACGCTGCCGGTTCTACCTCAGTTATTTATGGAGGAAACAAGGATTCAGTTCTTGCGCACCAGAGAGGACGCGCTCCTCGGCCTCGTGACTGCAGACTAGACGAGCAAAGTGAGCTCGTCTCTGGGGTGATGCTTTTTTAACATTACATCTGATAATATAACATGCAAAGTGCAACTAAAACCAAATCTGTTGTTTGGTTTTTGTCCATTTCTAAACACCTCCTCTGGTCATGGTTAAAAGCTGCAGATAGCTCCTTGGTGTGCATCCTTGGTCACACCTGAGTAGTTTTTATGGAGCTCAACTCAATGTGATGGTTGAATATAAACAGGAAATTATGAAGAAGATCCTCTGCACAAGTGGCCCAATGTGCAGCCTGTCCATGTCTGAGAGGGATTGGCAGTGATTTCTCCATGACAGTGAACACAGAGGGCGTGGTGAAACAAACACAGACGAGTAAACTAATCTACACCTAAGCAGGGCTTTGCAAAACCAAACTGTCAGCTAGACGTGATTTCTGGCGTGTGCAGCTCTCTCCAGGAGCAGAATCTATTCCTCTGAGTAGCGTTCCACATCACTGGAGTCCACTGCCACTGTGGGGAATTGACTATTGTGACATTTGAGCAGGCAGAGATGCTGTGTGGCTGCAGGTGGAGGCCTCTGCACTGGGACGGCACTGAGAGGCTGCAAAGGAATCCCTGTGAGCACGAAAACCTTCAGCACTGACTTGTACGAAAGACACAACATTTTAGGTAAAGTTGATGAAACTTGCATCTTATTGAGGCTCTTTTGTGTAACAGGAATAATAGATGCATTAATCACTATTAATTATTACTTACTTTTCTGAAAGTAAGTCATCAGAACTGTCAGGTTTATCTGTAATCTAATGCAAACAGACGTTACTTGCTGCCGTGTCTGCACCCACCTCCTCCGGCGCATCACTCTCAGCAGGTGAGTCCTCCTCCAGCTCCTCTCCCTCGGCGTCGTTCGGACCGCTGGTCGCCGTGTCCTCCGCAGAGTCCTGGTCGGAGGAGAGCATGCTGCACTCTGGGCATGTCAGGGAGAGAAGCCGAGCTCACTCCTTTTTCTTCACTTGCTTGGGTCTGGAGATCCCTCCGTTCGCTGGCCCTGTCTGCGCCCCCCGCAGCCCTGCTCGGTCTGGGCCGGAGCCAGCAGGCTGCTGCTGCTGTGCAGAGCGGGGGTCCCGCGGTGCTCCCGGCTGGCTGGGCGGAGGGGGGCGGAGCTGAGGGAGTTCACCGCAGCAGAGGCAGCAGAGGTTCACCATGATGGAGTCCGACGAGCTTCTCTGTGTGTGTGTGCGGTTCTCTCTCTTTTTTTTTTTTTTTTACATCATCAGCATTTGCGGTTACCTAACGTGACCCTGGATCACCTAAAACCACCTCAGTCAGCCTCGTGTACTGGGTCAGAACCGACACACCGCAGCGGTCACCGGTTCGAGTCCGAGCCGCGGCGCGGATCCACTGCGTGTTCCCCTCATGTCACCCTCACTCTGCATCTCTGTCTCTGCGTTAAAGGCCGAAAAATATCCTTAAAACCACCATTGCACTTACAAATGTGGACGCTGGATCCGTATCGTCGGTCGGAGGTGTTTGGCGGCAGCACTGAGCACCGCAGATCCGGTTCACATACAACACAGACGGCCCTTCACAATAAAAGCTTTTCTTTAACATGCTACATGCACAGACCACAGCACAGGGCCACAGCACCTCCAGTCATCAGAGGTTTAAGCAGGTTCTAGTTTGACTAGTTTCCTGAAAATGTTACAGCATAAAATATAGATATTTATGAAGATAACTCTGACATTTTAGTTTTATATATTCAATACTTTACGCGATTTTTTAAAAAACTCCCATTTCAACACTTCATTTTTCACACATTGAAATTTGAAGCTATGTTTGAGGCACAACATCAGAGGAACTACTACAAATAAAACCCTGAATTTTTCACAGTTATTTCTCATTATCACAATGATTCAAAACTGCAAGTAGAGCAAGTCTGTGACTAAAAAGTCTATTCTTTCAGCTCGCATGAACAAATAATAATAACAACAACAACAACAACAACAACAATAATAATAATAATAATAATAATAAGGGTCCTCGGACCCTAATAATAATAATAAATAAAAATAGATAATGGTGCTTTCATGTCACAATAATACAAAAGAAAATATAGATGGTATGACAAACTGCTATATAGCTTAGTCCAAATAGAACAGAAAGGGCAGGGGGCTGAGATTGCTGTTATTTTACTTATTATATGGAATTTAACAAAAAAAAGGAACAACTGTGAAGTGACAGTTTAAAAAAGTTTTTACCATTTTTCAATCCTTAATGTACACATTAATCTTTTAAATAACACCTATTAAGATTAGAGCTTTGGCTGATTTAAATACAGTAAAAACAGTGTACTTTTTATTTTTTTATTGAAACGCTGCAGAAAACAAATTACCATTTATTTTAAAAAAAAACTATTTTTGATGTGGACAGTATTTACTTTTTTTGTGTGTGTGTGATTATTATCTGCAATTTCACAAAACAGGAGAAATCTGCAAAAACATCAGGGAATTGTTCAATAGATACTGTTAATTTAAAAAAAAAAATGTTAAAAATGTTCATTATTCTTTGTGTGGTACTAAATATATATTTTTTTCTTTCTCTGGGACCCACCTCAGAAACTACAATAAAGAGTTACCAGGATGGATTTGGTCATTTTTGGTGATGGGTTCTGTAAATTAAACAGGTTATGGGACTTTTTCAAACAAAGTACACATGTGCATTAATTCTTTGTTAAATGTACAAACAGTTGCAAGAAAGCTACAGTCGTCCTCAGATGTATTCATCGCCTCCCATAAAAAAGGAAAAAAAACAGCTGTCACTGAAATAAGTTGAAATTGTAAAAAGTAATAGTAAATAAAACAGTTAATGAAAATCATGGCATTGCTTTTGAATTGTGGCTCAACAGAAATATTTTAAAAACAACAACAAAAAAACAAGCAAACAAGCATGATGGGACCCGTGAACTAATACTTTGTTGAACAACCCTTTGAGCCAATCACTGCAATCAGGTGTTTTCTGTAACTCTCAATCAGATTTCTGCACCTGTTCATCAGCAAAGGGCTCTAATTTGTCTGGGACAGTTTGTTTATCTTTTTAAAATTATTCTTTTTTACCACAATTCAAAAACAACGTTTAATACCACTAAATTATAATTTATCAATTTAAAAAAAAAAAATTGTTATTACTTTTTTTAGTTTCTGGTTATTTGAGTGACTGTTGTGGATTTTGCCTTTTCTTTAATGGAAACTATATTGATTTCTCTGCATTGTGCGCCATCTTTGCCTGCAGTTCCTCCCTCTGGCCGCTGGGGGGCGCTGCAGCCCGACGAGCCTCCTTCAGCTACACGGAAATCACTGTTGTGTGTGTCTCTCCGCAAACATGGCGGAGGTCAGGCAGGGGTTTGGAAGAGGCGTACACCACTTTTCACACAAAATATACAACCGCTACCTCCAGGAGAGCCGGACTAAACACGTGAAAAGTTCGGTACCGGCTTCTTCTCTGTCGGCGACGTGTCTGCTGGGCGACTTTCTAACCGACGGACTGTGCGAAGCTGGAAAAGCGGCGGAAGAAGTGACCGTTGGAACTCCACGGGGCAGTTACACAAGGGTAATAAAACCGCACCTCGGTGCCGGGGAGGGAACCAGAAATGAAAACTGCTGCTACCTGGACCTGAAACAATGTTCACCTTCTAGCTGTACGCGGGTACCAGTCACAGGACGTAATGCCCCTCGGTACCGGAGCGATGCGAAGTTTTGGAGCTCCATCTCCAGTCAGCAGAGCGCCGGTAGTTTGTATTGCGGACAGCTTCTGTTTATCAGAGCTTACAGTGGCAACGACACCAGAACCGAGCCTCTGTACAAAAGCAAAACGGCCTACTATGAGATCCTGGAGGTGTCACCCAGCGCCACCCAGGCCCAGATCAAAACGGCCTACTACAAGCAGTCCTTCGTCTACCACCCGGACAGGAACGCCGGAAACGACGAGGCCAGCGTCCGGTTCTCCGAGGTCAGCGAGGCCTACACGGTGCTGGGGAACAAGGGGCTCCGCAAGAAGTACGACCGGGGACTGTTGAGTTCCACCGACATCACCGGGATAACCAGGCCCTCTGCCAAGGACCCGTCCGGGGGCTCCGGGACGCAGCACGCCGAGAGCAGGAGGTCTGCGGCGGGCACCGTCACCCAGCGGGACGTGTTCGACTTCGACAACTTCTTCAAGGCCCACTACAACGAGCAGCTGCAGAAGCAGAGAGAAACCCGAGCCCGACAGGAGGAGATGGAGAAGAGGAAGGAGGACAGCGGACACGGGTTCACGGAGAGGTTGATGGAGGTGGGAGCCGTGCTGCTGGTGGTGGCGACCTTTGGGATCATAGTGAGCTTCAGATAGGGATGGAGGAGAAGAGCTGGAGGATGTGGTGGTACTGAACACTGACACGAATCTGCTGTGGGTCCTTTGATCTTTCACCTCCTTCCACAAGGATTAAAACGCTGCATATAGAGCTGTAATAATCATCCAGTCACTTCATTAGTAAATTGGTACGTTCAAAAACAAATGCAGGTGGAGGATAAGTTGATGTGTGAATCATATATAATGCAGAGAAGCAATCTGAAGATGTCGCCTCCAGTTTTAGTTAACAGCCGTTTCTGTCTGTTCTCTGGCAGGAAAGTAATTGTTAAAGCCCTCAATGTGCTTATGAGCAAACCAAAGGGAAACAACATCATCATGCTCTTCGTGAAAACACTACTCATATGTTTGTTGAAATAAACATTCACTCTATCTCACATTTTTCGGTTCAGCCTGCTGGTCCGGCCTCTTTCACTCGTCTCTGTAACCTGTAACTCCACTGTGCCAACATGTTGTCATGTCATGCTGACAGAGGACGCTTCAGTGGTTGGTTTACAACCGTTTAGTACCTCAGCTCAACTCGTTTGACTGTAAAATCCTCTCTCATGCAGATTGTATTGTTTTAAACGGTAAAGGAAGTTTTAATGATGGTTTAACGTATTGCTATTTATGAAATATTTATGGCAATGTAAGTCAGGGAGGAGTCATGTCTTGAAACCGGGGGCATTGTGAGAACTGAAATTCTGTGCTCTTTTAAAGAATGTGACTTAAATTATATTTATTGTAATAAATAAATCACTGCTTATATTGAGCAGATGTATATCAAATAAATGACTTCTAAGAGGTGCTTGTCAGAGCACAGCGAAACAAATGCTGCTCGGGTCTTTCATTTTCATTTGCATCGATTTAAAACCTGAAGATACCTGCAGCCAAACACATACCATGAAGGATCATTCCACATCATTCTCAACCGGGGGGACCGTTGTCTGAATACAGTAAAGGCAGATTAACAAAAAAAGTAAACTAATGCACATATTTGTTTTTGGAAGTCTCATTTAAATATTACTTGGAGAACACATACATTTAGTGCGTTTAGAAGTTCACAGTTCACAGTTAACACAAGTCAGCTATATCAGTGCATATTAGTCATAAAGTCAAGTCAAACAGAACATCTACACACAAATACAATAACATTAAAAGTGCTTGCATTACAAAAACACTAAAACCTATGAAAACAACCCCACATAGCTTATCTTCGTCTCTTACGAATCTGACTTTCCTCAGTGTTTAATTAGTAAGAGACTACACTGATTCCTTATGTTGACTCAAGTCACATTAATTCCTGTTGACGCATGTAAAAAATATTTTTTTTTCGTAGTAATCAGCGATGACAGCCTGAGAAACTCCTTCATAAAATGTGAAGTCTTACTGGTGCGTCTCGTTGTCAGATGACCGGGTTCAGGGCGTCGTAGAGCCGCTGAACCGCCAGTTCCACCATCTCTCTCAGCGAGTCGTCCTCTGTGCATTCGTCCTCGTAGGACACCGACTGGTGAGGGGAGGAGAAGTGAGTCGCAAAACCCAACACCGATCGCACCGCTGTGTGTCAGTCTGACAAGCTGAAAGCCTCTTACCCTCGTCTCCAAGCAAATGTGAACCGTCTTCCCATCGACTGTCACAGAGATGTTTTTACCGTCGCTGAATTCCACACATTCTACTCCGAACATGTCCCTGAAAACAGAGAGAGGACACAGAAATATCAGAATTCATTAACACCTGAACAAGCGTTTGTCTGAGGAAATTAATTTGTGTGAAACTTTTTTATTTTATTTTATTCATAGTTACTCATTTATACAATTATACTCACTGCAACATGACTTCTAGCCGGGTTTGGAAGACGTCCATGTCCATGACGGCGCTCTGGGTCTCCATGACTGTTAACGAAACACAAAGTTTAACCAGAAACAAAGCATTTGAGCCTTGTTTAGTTAAGGTAGTAACATAGGGAATGGGTTCATATAAAGCACAAGTGCTGTTTTTACTGTATGTTACGTCGTAAATACTCAAAACTTACAACAACAAAAAAAACACAGCTGGTGGCCAGACTGACCTTTCTGAGCCTTTGGGTTTGATTGGACCTCCAGTACCACAGTGGTGACAGCATCAGCATACATGTCATTGAGAGGGTTAGCTATCCACTGAACAAAGAGGTAAAGAGGAAATTCCCACAACATTAAATCATTTTATTTATACCGTAAGTCTCTGTATCTCTCATTAGTAGCATTACGTTTGGAGCCTCTGTGGAGGTTTAGCTCTTAAAAATCCAGTCAGTTAGAGGCTCTACACACTGCTGCTGCATTACATGACCAGTCATAGTAAACTGAAGAGCAAGAATAAGTTTCCACAAAAATGATTAAACATGAGACAGAACCAAAAGGAGAATAAGACAAAACCCTGCTCCACACTCAGCAGTACAGCGTGGAGTCAACGTGGCCTCTCACCTCCAGCAGCACCATGCCGGCCTCGTGGATCAGAGTGATGTTTTTAAAGATCTTCAGAGTGTTCTTGTCTGTTCCATCCAGCTCCTCCACGTCACCTGAACAGACAGTCGAGATGTGGTCAACTCAGTGAAAGTCAGTGAAAATCCAAAACACTCCACATAAACGAGGACGTAGCAACAAAAACTTCTCTTAAAGTGTAAATATGCTTTAAACGTAGCAAACACAGTCTTACAGTTTTACACAAGCTAAAATCTGTGAGAAAATGTGAAACCGTTCATTTAGTTTTGCAGTGACTAGACTGTTTTCTGCTATCTTTTTCATGGACATGTTGCAGTCTGCACCATCACCACTAGATGTCACTAAATCCTACACATTGGACGTTTAAGGTGAGAAGCACTCAGAGTTTTAATTGCATCCACAGGGGGTCTTAGAGATGTCCACTGCACCGGTCATCCAGAGCACACGTTCGTATAAAGAGGTCTTACCAGTGAGGTTCCTCAGATGGCAGACGAGCAGTGAGTACGGTCCAGTGAAGGGGATGGCCTGGCTCTGCTTCACGGTGCTCATGGCCAGCTCTGTGTAGGCTGCACAACACACACATCAGCTCATTACAGCTCCGTTTGTTGTTCCATTCATTTATCTTCATCTGCTCAGATCAAAGAACCAGGTGAGTACTAATTCCCAGAGCCTGGAGCGTGACCAAGCTATGCTAAAAGCGGTCTCCAGATGGGGGGAAATTACTTACTGGACAGATCAGACGGGTTAAGGATGTGATAGTTGAAGTTCTTCTTCACCAGAATGCCCGACACTCTCTGACCCTGGATGCACTTCTTATCAGCCAGACAACCCATCACCTGAGAAGAAACGTGTTCGATAACTTCATCATGCAGCCAGAAGGAGCACACAGAGTGACCACAACACACAAATGACAAAAACAAGGAAGACGTGGGTCTGACCTTGGCTAGTTTCTCTCCTCTGAAGTTCAGCGTGACAGCCTCCGTGTTGCGAGGGTTGTGGACTTCGATGTGAACCTGGTCGTTGTCCTCGTACTCCCTGATCAGCGCCGCCTTCAGACGGGCCATCTCGTTCTGCTCCCCGTGTACCAGGATCTGACGGAAAACACACACGCCTCGAGTTTTATTAAAGATGAACGACTACAGAGAACTTTATATAAAACAGCTGATTTGTTTCTCCTCCTCCTACCACGTGTGGTGGTTTGAGAGCCCTGATGAACTCGCTGGTCTGCTGGTAGTCGGTGTGGGCAGAGAAGGAGATGTAGTCCACCGACATCTTCAGCTGCAGCTTCTGTCCGGACATGGTGGTGATCTCCTCCGGCTCAGACATGATGTGCTGCAGAGATCAGTTACGGTTAGCTAGATTAGTTTCACCATCAGTTAACCTGCCCAATATGTTCACATTTAATCATTTAGTTAGAAAAATGTCCAATTGTTGTCTTGTTTTGTCTGACTAACAGCCCAAAACTTTCAGATATTCAATTTGCTGTCACACACAAGAAAGAAAAACAGCAAATCATTATATTTAAGTATCAAAACTGTTGAAAATTCTGTTTTTTTGTGGCTCAGAATGGACATAGAAATAAACGTGCTCAGGCCATGCACAGTTGATGCAATCAGTAGGTGTAAACTTGTGCATTTTCTATTTTTTCTGAGCACAAAAATGTCTATATTGCCAGAGTTAGCGAAACGTCACTTAGCAAAACTGGTTAAAAATGTATAGATTTTTTCAGTCTCAGTTCTTAGCATTTTGAAGTCTTTGAAGAGGGTGTCCAAATTTTTCTCTACATTCACTGTCTCAACACACACACAATTTAGATGACCTCAAATATACACCAAATAACTGCACTTTTGTTCAGGACAGTGGAGGAACCTATTCTGACCTTGGCCAGCGTCCCCTCCACGCAGTATCCGGCGATGATGACGCCGTTCCTCTTATCAGTGCACCAGCTCTCGAAGAGCTCTCTGGAAAGGCCACTCTGCATCATACCTGGAGACGCCATCACCACGCTGGGGCCGATGTCATCAAAGTGATCCATGCTCTGGAAAGAACAGACAGTTATAGATATTCAGCTGTTACAGGATAAGCAGCCTAATCAAGCCAAACGATTTAGATCAACAGTCCGCATGTCTGTATCTGTCACACCGTCCACCTTAAGATTGCTGATGTGCTTGAAGACAAACGGGTTGTTGATGTTTATGGCCTTGCGGATCTTGTCATTCATGGCGTTGACATAGGTCTGGTACACAGCCATGCACTTCTTGGCCAAGGATGAAGCGTAGTAGATGGGGATGTCGTGGAGCTCCGGGTGGTTCTGCCAGTACTCATCTACAAAGGAACAGGAAACACATGATGGAACGAAGATGCAAGAGACATAATTCAATGTGGATAGAGAGTCACAACTGTCATATATAATAATTACTGACAGCATCTAAATCAAGTAGTCAAACATGACTTCCAACCTAAGATAAGCAGCAGCTCCTGGGCCCGTCCCAGGGCGAACACAGGGATCAAACAGCGGCCCTCTCTGTTGACAATGTCATGGACGGTGTTACAGAACCGAGCTTCCCGCTCCTCCCTCTTTTCATGGATGTGAGTGCCATATGTCGACTCCTGCAGAAAGAAAAATAACCATGTTGTGATCACCAACAGAAATAGTGTTCAGTGTGAGTTATCAGGTTGAAAACAACGTGTTTGCTTTTTGCCGTACTATGATTAAAATGTCAGGCTTGACGCTGGGGATCTCAGCCGCCATCAGATGTCTGTCTTCTTGTCGGGAGAAGTCTCCTGTGTACAGCAGCTTTGGAGTGAGAAAAAGAAAGACAATGTGAACTTTGTTTTTATAAAGCAATCATTAAAAATAACAAATATATAAATGAGGAAAACAGGAACCATTACTTTGACTCCAGCTATTTCGATCATGAACATGGCAGCTCCCAGCACGTGACCGGCGTGGTAGCACCAGAACTTGATTCCAGCCACCTCCTTGACCTCGTGGAAGTTGATGGTCTCAATCTTGTCCATGCTCTCCTCCAGGTCCGTCTCCGTGTACAGCATGTCGTCTGCAGAGATGTTGCTGTAATAAAAACAATAAATCTTGTAGGCTCCGCTGTAACTCAACAAAGGAGAGTGTTTTCCAATGACACGGCTGCGGCTACCTGACTTTGACGTAGTCCGACAGAAGCCAGCGGTAGATGGCCTTAGTGGCGTGGGTCATGAAGGTCCTCCCTTTAAAGCTGGTCTTCTGCAGGAACCAGGGCAGAGCTCCACAGTGGTCCAGGTGGAAACTGATGACAGGGCACAGACATCAACAGCAAATGACATCGCTCTAATGATTATGATCTAGAATATAATTAAAATAACTTCATTTGATGAGCAGATTAGAAGCAAAAGAACTTGTTTTTGTACAGGAAAATCTTAAAAATACATTAATTTAGAGCAGACAGTGGAGAAAATGAAATAAAAAAGGACGACTCACTGGCTGATGAGCAGCAGGTCTATCTCAGCTGGGTCGATCAAGTCTATGTAGGGGAGGGCGTCCATTCCCTCCAGGCCAGGGTGAATACCACAGTCCAGCTATAAAACACAAATATCACTTCATTTATTCCCTCAGGATAATCCACTTCGTATCGATACCACAAAACACACAGAACCACTCTGAACCCAATCAGCATAAAGGGAAGAGAGGTGGGGTTTGTTGACATTTACAAGGTGCCATGATGTGTCCACAGGAGGCTGGACTAGACTGAAAACACAAAAGATCTGTACGAGAATGGTCAGAGCTGCCTGCTTTTTCCCCCCTCAGGCAGCTGATTCTAATACATTTACCAAACTCATCAGGAAAGCTGGTTCCGTCCTGAGAGTCTGTGGTGAAGGTGTCAGAGAGGATGCTGCTGAGGAAACTACTCAGTATCATGGACAACGCCTCTCATCCACCTGCAGCCACACTGGTGTCACGTCAGAGCAGATACAGCTGCAGACTGAGACCGCTGAACTGTTCCCGGTTCTGCAGGGAGGACGGCTGAATCATCGGACCCTTAACACCGAACAATAATGACAATATCGTTTTCAATATTACTTTCTCATTAGCTTGTTCAATATGAGCTTCAGTCTTGTGTGCAATATGTCATGTTAATGTGCAGTCTTACTTTATTGCTTCAGTATCACTGCCTGTTTTACTTATTGCTTTTCTGTTCTAGCTTAACTATCCTTTCAATTTATTTTTTATTAATGTATCATACTTATAACTTATTGCTATTCTATAAGGTATTACATTCATTCTCATGTTATTACATTTTTTTTCTGAACAATTTCTGGCACAAGAACTTCCTAGTTTCAACTCATCTTATTAAATAATCACAACAGCTTGCATTTTAGAGTCAGTGTGGTGTCAGAAAGTGATTGCCATCGATGAGAGCAATTATCTTCAGGTCTCTGCATTTTTTTACGAGTTCTGTCTCCTGGATTATAACAACTCCACAGTTTTTTAAATCAATTGAAACAGCTTTAATCGACCCATCAATTCATATAATGCAAGTGCCAAAGTAACCGCAGCTCCTATAAAGTGACTGATATGATATTAATGCATTTAAATGTCTTTTATTTATTCACGAGGGTTTTATTTTGAAGGTCATAGTCATAGATGAAAAAAATTAATAAATAAAAGAACTTCTATATTTTATATATAGTACCCATCTATTTAAAAAAAAAAAAAAAAGGTAATTACACTCTAAATATAAACCAGGATTAGACATACCAAACACATATCATTTACACTTTATGACAAAACAGCTGTTCAAATATTCCGTTTGACAGACGATCAGTTTTTGGCACAACACCTGTTCATACACATGGTCCTTAAAATAAACCGGCATCACAAAATACATCTCCGTTACTTAGAATAAATACTATCTACTGGAAAAACACCCGGTTTAAGAATATTTTTCAGAATTTCTTACTCAGGGACAGAAACAAATTCATTTAATCAGTGTGACGTTAAACAGCAGCAGTAATAAATCACATTTACCATAATTTTCCTTCCTTTGAACTCCAGGATAATACATGACCTGCCGACCTCCTGCCCAGCGCCACTGAAACACGAGAAAACAGCAGTTAAACCAACGGTACGTGTGATTATTTTTATTATAGGGATAAGCGGTCAAACACAGTCTTATCATTAAAATAAAAAAATAAAACTGAACGCACAGCGGCCGGATCAGCAGCTGGTCGCTCTCCTCGGCGGGAACGATCATGTCCACTTTACGTTTCGTAGCCATGATGCGTTTTTAATTTTTCAATTTGAACATGGAAAAAATAAATCCCGTCATATTGCACTGGATTTTGCTGAATGAACGGAGAGGGGCGGCCTCTTTGGAGCGGCACACTTCCGGCGCCTTGTGCAAAATACCGCCGGCTGGAATCAAGAGAGGGGGACAAAGGTTCCGCTGGGTTTTGCCGTAAATTTTAAAAACAACTACATGTAAAACGGCCATAGATATATACAGTTTACATATTTGTGTAGCATTAAAAATATTCATTTAATAAAGTATGCTGTAGACGAGCTTTTTCGACTCATTTTTCAACTTTACGGTAGTTTTCGCGCCGCGGCCCCTTTAAGGGGGCTTGGGTGGCGGCTGCTAAACTCAAAGGGAAGCTCAAGAGTCAAACTGTACGTAAATAGAAAGCGAAGAAAATTAACTCTAAGCGGCACACTGAGGCGGTCACGGTACGAACAGGTACGTAAGTTAGCCAGCATTGCTTAATTAAATTTATTTACCGACCCCCCGCCAAAGTCCCCGGATTTCAACTTTTAAAAACGTGTCCGGGACGTTTAAGGTGGAGCAGGAGGACTTTTATACAGACGCCTGCTCTCCCTTCAGTGTGTGGCTTCTGCTCAGCACGTAGGTTCGCCGCACGGAGGTCGGTGATGGGGGTCGAACCGAACCTGTTGATTCCGGGGTGTCCTTTTACCTTCATCCTTTCTAAACCCACACCGTCCAACTCCATCCCTGCCATCTGCGCTGATGTTGTGCCTGCTTGATGCTGTTCGGGCAGCAGGTGTATCAGATCATCTGGTTTCCTGTTTGGCTGCTGCCTCCCTGTTGTCGCTTTGTTAGCGGGCACTCGCGGTTGCCATGGGAACCTCCAAAATTACCTTTATTTAAATGACAAAAGTGGATTTTTTTATTTATCAGTAGGCTTTTATAAGGTTTTAGCTAAGGCGGTGCTTTTTACTGTATTATAATGTGTATTCTACGGTTGCACCGTGTTATTGTATAACAACAATAATAATAATCATAATATAATTTCTTCCTCGGGTTTCTAATACTGTCTGCAGATATTGAATAGAGAAGTATGATGAAGTCCTGAGTCCTGAATTAAGCATACACAATCTAAAAGTCTTTTAAAAAGTGAAGAATTAAGATTAAACAAGAGTTTAAATTTAACAAACAGGGCATCAGATTACTGCAAAAACAACAACAACAACAAACCCAATGACTTGTCTGAAACTCTGTGCCTTCCTACTATAATAATACATCCATCCATCATCTCTACACCTTAATCCTCACCAGGGTCATGGGGGGCTGGAGTCTATTCCAGCTGACTCAGGGTGAAGGCAGGTTCACCTGGACAGGTAACCAGTCTATCACAGGGCTACACATAGAGACACTTAGAGACAGAGACACTTAGAGACCTTGCAGGCCTAAAATATTTTTTTTTAAAAACAACAAAAAAACACTAACTTCTCAGAGGGACTTTATTTAGACTTGTACTTAATAGTTTCAATAGCGTTAGTGTTTACGATTTTGGTTTGTGTGTGTGCTGATGGCTTCGTGTGACTAAATTGTCGAGCTGTAATGTTATTTTTGTCTTTCTATTGTAAGAGATCCTTATGCCCAATCCTCTCCCCAGTAAAGAAACAAATCCTAACTCCTCAAACATACATTGTGAACGGCTGTGCAGCTACTAAAACATTCATTATTCAAAATTTTGACAACGATATGTCTTACGTTCAATTATTCATCATCTCTGTTGAGACCTGAGAAGCCAGTCCCGCTGTGTCTTTACCACTGTGATGTTCCAGGTCGGCGCGGCTGGAGGGCTGGATGCGGTCGTCATGGTGAAGGATGTTTCGGAAAGTCAAAAAGCGCCACAGCAGCAGCAGCTCACAAAGCAGTGAGATCAGCACCAAAAGCAAGGTACGAAGACACACACACAGAAACCCCCTTTATTTAAATTCTGGTTCTGTAATGTTCCTGTCTGCTCCTAGTCTGTTGACTCCAGTTTGGGAGGACTTTCCAGATCGAGCACGGTCGCCAGCCTCGATACAGATTCCACCAAGAGCTCAGGTCAGTGTGACTCCTGTTAAACTGGTTGAATGTCTCCCTGCCGTTAACTTCTCTAATGGGTTGTTTGTATGTTTCCTGAAGGGAACAGCACGTCTGACACGTGTGCTGAGTTCCGGGTCAAGTATGTGGGATCCATTGAGAAATTACAGTTTGACATGAGCAAGACCCTCCAAGAGCCTTTGGACCTCATCAACTATATTGATGCTGCTCAGGTAAGAAGCTGGAGGACGGTGGCAAGGGGCTGCTTCACCAATGTGATAAATCTCTGATGTTATGGGGAAGGTGCTTTAAAAATAATGTTTCTTTTCATAGCAAGACGGAAAGCTGCCTTTTGTTCCTGGGGAGGAGGAGATGGTTCTGGGAGTGTCCAAGTACGGCGTCAAAGTGGCCTCACTGGACCAGTGTGTGAGTAGCGAAGCAACAGAGAAGTGATCTACTGGAGCTGAGAGTGAATAGTTATTGATCAGATTCTGCAGCATTGCTGGGTCGTCAATACGGGCTCGGTTTATGAATTCAGCATCTGTTTATATTTTTGACACGGTTCTGCACTCAAAGTCATGCCCGCAAGGTGTCCTCCACATGACCCGTTTTATTATGTGAGCTGAATGTGATTAATCATTTTACTGTTAATAGAGACTTGCTACTGAAACCACAACAAAGGAGGATTATCTGCCTCGAATGGTTATTAATGAGCGTTTTTTGTTCTATCCTCTGGACAGGATGTGCTGCATCGCCACCCCCTCTACCTGATCGTACGTATGCTTTGCTACGATGACGGTCTGGGCGCAGGGAAGAACCTCCTGGCTCTGAAAACCACCGACACAAAGCAAGAGGAGTGCAGCATCTGGGTGTACCAGTGCAGCAGCTCAGTGAGTGTGAAATGGAAGAGTTGAACGTAGGCTGATTAAAAATTAAAAAGTAAACATTAGGAGCATTAAAACATTCATGTCCCACCTGTCTGGGGTCATCTACGCTGTCACTGAACGCTGCTTTGTTTCTCTTGTCCTGCTCTTATGTGTTATTTATCTGAACAGGAGCAGGCCCAGTCCATCTGTAAGGTGCTGTCGGCTTCTTTTGACTGCGCTCTGACGTCAGACAAGTCCTGAGCAACAGATGGCATCCGCCTCCAAGAGTGAAGAAGTGAAACAACTGCAAAACCAGCAACGGCTAATTAGAAAACCACCATTGTGATTGTAACCTTTTCCCCCCTTCTCTAGCTTTGCTTTCTCAACTTTAGGAGAGGTCAAACACGATTGACGGCAAAGTCTGGTATGTGTTCGGTGCTGTTTCCTTCCCATCATCCTCCAGCTGAGACAGAACTACTGTGAATTTGTCTGAATCATTTCCTGGGAATTCGTTTCCTTTACCTCACTTGCACATTTGCCCTTTCAAAAAAAAGCAAAAAGTGAAGTTTAGAGAGGAGGGAAAAGGTTGCATTTGAGAAAAGCTTTGAAGGACATTGCGCAGCGTTTAGCAGTGTGATGTTAATTATTGTATTTAATGTAAATCACGGTACACGATGTCGTAACCCGCCTCTGCCCATACGGTGATTTATGGGAGACAATCTGTTGAGAAGTTACACAAGTTTGACTGATGTCTCTCTTCCACTTATACCTTTTTCAGGTTTAAAATCTGTGTGTGTGTGTGTTTGTTTTCTATCAGTATTGATGCCACAGCGGTCACTTTCTGACTGGAAGGAACGGTACAAACAGGCTTTAATGTGCCCCACAGCCTATAGAGGGTCACTTTGTTTTCTTAATTTGTGGGATGTATCCATTTTTAATGACTTATTTGAGATTGTTTTTTATCTTCTTTTTGTCCGGTGAACTTCTTGGTACCAAAAGCGTGATGTGTTTTTTTTTTAAATGTAGTGATTCAATCTGCATTAGGTTAGATTAGCTGATATCAGTTCTAATAAGCTGGTCGTCACATTTAGAAGGTTTCTGAGGAAGAACTTGTTTGGACTTGTGGTACTAACTTGTACAATCATAATCATAACTTTTCGGTCCAGATGAAAACATGTGGCAATAAGAAAATGTACGATTTTTGGATCTGGTACAATAAATGAGTGATTTTAAATAATGATCGTATTGATTTTTGACTTTAATTTTTCATGTTTCATTTACATTTGGCTGTTAATTGTGATTTCCTCCTTTTTGCACGAGTGAAATTGAAGAAACAGTATTTTGGGATTTTTTTTTACTGTGTATGTTTTCACATGGCTGAAATATTCCCCATCAGAGGGAGCTCTTGATACATCACCTGGTGTTTAGTTTGAGCGCTATCATAGCAGTCACATGGGGTTTTAAAAAATCAGCAGTTTACTTCACAAAAGACTAAAAAAAAAACATTTGCTGCCAGAAGCAATTTAGTAAAAATCACTATCTTCTTGTGGATTAATCGTAGCAACTGGATTTGCTTGAGTTCCTTGAAGACGTTTCATCCAAGAGGCTTCATCAGTTCTGACTGACTAGTTGGGAGTTCAAGATACTGATATCCTTAAGGAGCCATTAACGCCTGAGTTTCGGTTTCAATTTGGGGTTTGTTGCTCCTCCTCCTCGTTATGTGAGTCCTTATCAGACCTCCAGACCTCCAGACATCACCTCTCACCTGTTTACAATTCAGTCTTAAGAACTCTCCCCAGGAAGATGAACCCACATCCACACTGAGCCACAACAGACCCTAACGAACCCCACTGTTTTCAGGGGGAGCACTAACGACCCACATAACAAGGGGGAGGAGCAACAAACCCTTAATTAAAAAAGAAACTCAGGTATTAATGGCTCCTTAAGGATATCAGTATGTGGAACTCCCAACTAGTCAGTCAGAACTGATGGAGCCTCTTGGATGAAACGTCTTCAAGGAACTCAAGCTACGATTAATCTACGAGAACAACCGTGACCTGGATGACAGATTCTTCACAGACAGAAATCAGCATCATGACTTGCACATATGGATCATAAACTCCTCATCGCTGTACAGAAACAGACCGAAGCCTCGTATTATCTCATATTTTATTATTCCAGTTTCATTTTCCCATTTACTTTCACAATAGAGTTAAAGAGTCAATGCAGTGATCCACAGATGGTTAATGAGAATGAATGATGTTCCCACTCGTGAGCGTCTGTAGCACACGCAGGTCCAGCCGAGGTCGCGTTTGTAACTGCTCGTCACCACAGTGCATTAAAAGACATTTACTGCCCAGGTTAACTCTGCTCTTTTTTACATTTAAATATCCACAAACAAAACCAAACATATTTACACGAATAGATTATTAAATCTTCCTGTTTCCAGTGAGTTAATATTAAACATGGCGAAGAGAAGCGCGTCAGCTACGATTCACACGCTTCTCTTCTCGTCATTCACAAATCCATGGAAGGCTCTGGTTTCAGGTTAAACGCCTAAATATCAACAATATGAACAGAGAGACAGTTGCTCTGCAACTAAACTGAAGTTAATTACACTGTTTTATATTCACTTCGCAACACATTAGATAAACCTGTTTCTACATCAGATGTCCTGACATGAAGCTAAAGGAGGGATGCTCCTTTCTGTCAGGTTGTGTCAAAGACAAACTCAGTTCAGCTCATTTGTGTACAAAACAAAACTCAGCCCGTCAGAATGTTCTCGAAGGCAAGAGGAAGCAACAAAAGTCACAGAGCTCACTCCTGCTTTTCATCTCACTCCCACGCTCTCGTTTTTATTTATTTCCTCTTATTTTAATATCCTTTCATTCGCAGCTTATTCTGTGCAGATGATACATGCGCTCACACACACACACAAACACACACACTTTCTACTCCTCTAATAAGGCAGATGAGAGGCGACGACAGCCTGAGGTGTCGAGACTCAGCATAAAGGTAATTACTGGCTGCTGCAGCTCCAGTCAGTGTCAGCGTTTGACCTGAAACAGATCAGGAAGAAGGAAGGAGGAAGAGTCCTGCTGCTGAAAGTGACTCCCCTAATGCTAGAATGCTACAGGCAGTGTGTGTGGAAAAGCAGAAGATAAACGACATTGACTTCTTTTGCAGCTCTATTACTCTGGACACACCTGAGAAAGCGAGGCTCTCCCAGGCGTGACCAGTCGGAGGCTGTTTCAAAATGCAGCGTCCCCCTTTTCAACGCCGGTCCGTCACTGAAACGGGGACGGGGAAGCGCTCCCTCCAGTGCAGCTTCCAGCATATTCCAGGGTTAACTTAGCACCTTTAGAGAAACCTCCCTGCAGGAGGAGGACGACGACTACACATGTGGAAAGTTGCAGCTACCAAGCATTTAAAAGTCGCTCATGCACAGATGTGGAATGTAAGCATGTTCACATTTACAGTTGTTAGTGAGTTAAGACACGTTGCTGTGACCTCCACACCACCGCCACGTTAAAGGACCGTCTGTACAACGCAGCTGAACGGAAAACGGATGAATACTGTACATACAACCTTCACTGTGTCATCTTATGCTGTGACACGGATAAAGACGAGAAAAGTGCATTTATTGCCAGAGGTCGTTCACTACAATCATCGTTATTTTCTTTAAATCTTAGAGCCTGTGTCAGGAACATTAACAGGAAGCATTAAAAACCACATGTGGTCCCGTGAGCCCCCTGTTGGTCTGTAACAGTTGCCGTGACGACACCCATACAACGCTGTGGTGGTGACACTTAAGAGGAGCTCACTCAAGATGCCGGTGAAGGAGAAGATGATGATGATGATGATGATGATGATGACGATGTCGACGGCAAACACTGGGACGATGGCGGATGTTGAGACGGGTGAAAGTGGGGCGCTGCATCCCGCAACACTTCCTGAGACCCAGAGCGACCGTTCAGTCGGCGATGAAGTGTACAAACGTAACGGGAAAGGCTCCTCTTCTCTTCGGATCGCCTTCGATGTGGCCCAGCTGAGAAGAAGAAAAGACAGAGGGTTAGGAATTTTAAAGCGAGATCGGGTGTAAAAACTAAATCGTTCGACTGCTTTTACCAGATGTGACCATCTAAAGCATGTACACAACGCAACTACAACACAACTACAACATACACACCACAAAATCTATCAATGAAGAGCAATGTTCACTCATATGATCCAACACTGATTCATAAAATCCAAAGATTATTGTTTCAATCGTGCCTTTATCACTTGAACACGAACAAATCAGGATTTTTGGGAACCAAACTGAATCAAAGTAGGACATCAGTGACAACATCCATCCCTAAAACACACCATCTGATGGGAGCAACAAGAGGCTACATCACGACACATATCTCAGTTGTGGATAAAAGTTTACAGACACTTGCACACAGTCTTGAGTTTCCAATGACTCGGATAAATCTTAATTTTCTAAGATGGAATGATTGAAACAGACGCGTCTTTGTCACAAAAAGAATTATTATAGGTCTTCTGGAAATATGACAAAATCTGCTGGGTCAAAGATATACATAATAATGAGTTTTGGTGATGTAGAAAGTTGTGTTTTCTTAGTGACGTGGCCTCTTAACTTCCTGTGAGCGACTGCGATTAACTGCTGACTCCTCATCTAACTCAAATGCTACAACGAAAAAGTACGAGTCGCATATTGTCAGTGGCCAAAAATAACCAAAAAGCAGGTCTGCAGTGAATTAGGAGCTGCTGGAACACAGGTGTCCACAGTCAAGGGGGTTTCTATCGTCAGGGGCTGAGAGGCTGCAGTGCAAGAAGGAAGCTCGTTTACCAGAATTTCCCTAGAAAAGGCCTTCTGGAGGAAAGTCCTGCGTTACAATAATGTGCAAAAATAGAGCTATTTGGCCACAAAGACCAGAAATATGTTTGGATGTTTGGAGGAGAGACACCGAACACCAGGCATGGAGGTGGAAGCATCATGCTCTGGATCATCTGGAATAATGAAGAAGGTCTTGGTGGGTTTTCCAACAAGACAATGACCCCAAACACACATCAGAAGTGGCAAAGAAATGGAAAAATCAGACTAGAATGAGGATTTTAGACTGGCACCCATTCCATCGTAGAAAATTAAGACTTATAGGAATCTAGGCTGCGTTGATCTTCACCGTCTTTACAAGTGCACGCAAACTTTCATTCACAACCGTACATCTAAAGTGATTCTCCTCTTTGATATTACCTTGAGTCACAAAGTAGACAGAACTTATTATCTCCATTTAAGTCATTTTAATCGTCGTCTATACCTGAAAATAAAAAGCTAGGACATGTTTCTGCTCGGACAAACAAAGTGAAACATGACAATAAATGAACAAAAAAAAAATCGACTGAATAGTTTTCATCGGAAAGAAAGTAGAAAAACTTGAGAGCTTGGTATTATATTATGAGCCTGTTTCCCAGCAGAGCGACCTTCTGGGGCTTCATTACTGCACCGTGATGTGAATTTTTCATACACAAAACGAGCGATAACGCTGCTGGACGCAGGGCAGAGAGGAAGCCCGGCGTGGACCTCGGGGGACTCCGGGTCCACGCCAGGGACAGAAAGACTGACTAAATACGGTCATATCTGCAGGGGTGGCTCAGAGGAAAACAAGCTGCAGCTGGTCGACGTTCACACAAGGAGCTCCACAGAGGAAGCACCAGCAGGCGGAAAAAGAGGAGGAGGAGGAGGAGGAGGAGGAGGGGAGAGCGGCCAGAATGAGGTCATGGCTTTTTGCTTTTAGCCGCCATGGTTACCGAGCGCTCTGACATCCACATGGCAGAAGTCGGGCCAGAGCGAGCTGCTTGGACTGGGATCGCTTTGTGCTTTAATCTGAAAACATGAGCAGGCGTCCAAAAAACACACACAGACTGGGGAGATACTGACCCACCACTCCTGGTCCTCCTCTCCGTCCACCACGATCACCTCGCCCTCGGAGAAGGTCAGCTCGTCGGGGTTGTCGGCTACACAGTTGTAGATGGCTTTCACTCGCTTCGGCCTCTGTTTCTGAGACAAGAGGACAAGCAGGTTATATATCAAGTAGGTGCAGGGGGAGCTAAGGCAAAGTTAAACTACAGAACACCTCGAGATGCCGTCTATGTTGTCTTTTGGTAACGCTCCCGTTTTCCCTCATGAACATTTTTCTCAGGAGATTTAGTCTAGATTAAGATTGTGAGGTCAGAGAGTATCGTACCGTTTGTACCATCCTCTAAATCCCTCAGTGGCAAATGTGTGATTTGCCATTTTGGGCTTTGAAGGCCAATTGTTCAGAGCAATGTGAAAACTTTCCCAGTTCATCTCCGCTGTGTATCCTGGACTACATCTGTGCTTTCACTGGGTTTGTAGCGCTGATTCATTTTCTGACTGGAATTTTACTGCTTGATAAAACAGAAAGAAAGATGAAACTACAGGCCTTTAAAACCAAATTGATCCACGAAACAAAGGGACAAAATAAAATAAAGAAAAAGCTTCTACAACCCCACGGTGCAAGGCTCCAGTTTAACTTTCTGAAACTGCATGAACAGAAATATAGTTGGTTTTTAACTCTCCAACACTCCGTGAACAGCTGATCAGTGACTTGTGGTTTCAACGAGATTCTATAATAATATTAATGATAATAACTTTATTTGTAAGGCACCTTTAAGAAGAAGAATTCCCAAAGTGCTTTGACAGGTAGAACATAAAATACAGGTTAAATATCAGGCAGGACAGGGCAAACAGCATAAAACAATAAAAAAATTCATGAAAACACGTAAATACACATGATAATAAATGAAAATGTACAGAATGGATCGTTAGTTTAATAAAAGGACGACATCACACGAGGGGGTTAAGAGAGAAGCTGAAGAGGAAAATCAAGGATAAAAACAGATTAATGTCAGGAGGTTAGAAAGAAGGACTACAAGCAGTAAAAAATTTAAAATGGACAAAAGGGCAAAGAGATGAAAGAGAACTTTACTTGAAGGCGAGTCTTTAAAAGTGGGTTTTAAGAAGTGATTTAAAAGAAGTTACTGATTCAGCATGAAGCTAAAATGTATGTAAAAGACATAAAACTCCCCTAAGGAAGCATTAGTGAGTCAGCTTGACAAAAATTCTGAAAGGTTTCGGCTGAATCAGGATGAACTGCAGGCTGTGCTGCACGGAGCTGATAAAGAAATCAATAAAGTAAATAGTTCAATAACTACAGCATGTAGAGCCACCGTTTTCTCCTGTGGGCCCTTGGAGAAAGGTTGTACGTGTTGATTAATTTTTATTCTTTTAGTAAAATAAATACCGTAATTTCTGGACTATGAGCGCACCTGAATATAAGCCGCACTCACTGACTTTAAAAAGTAAACCAGTTGTGTACATATACAGGCTGCACTGGTCTATAAGCTGCAGGTGTCCACATTGAGATATTTACACAGAAAGATGTTTTAAACTTTTAATTAAATACGTACCGATAACACACACAAATACGTAACAGTTCCTGTAACACGGCCGGTTAAGGAAATAAAACTCCAGCAGCAACCAGGAAAAGTCACTGATCGCTGTCTTCATCTTCCTCCTGCACTAAAACCACGAAAGTCATCTTCTTCAGCCTCAGAATTACTTCATCACTTCTTCAGTCTGTCTGTCGCTCTCAACGTCACTTTGGTCTCAGGGCAAATTCGTAAAAATCCATAAATTAGCCACGTCATTGTTTAAGCCGCAGTGTTCAAAGTGTGGGAAAAAAGTAGCGGCTTATAGTCCGGACATTACGGTAATCAGAAATGTTACTTATACCTTTTTTTATTTTATTTTTTATGATTCATGCCACTATAACTGTGTCACACTGCACATTTCAAAGTTCTTTCTTTGGTCCAAGATGAGTTAAAACAGCGAAACAGCTTCTCCGCTCAAAGTGAGAGAAAAAGAAAGTCCCGGCCAAAGCTCAGACTCACGCTACAGGAAAGACGTTTACTGCACGAGTAGACACTGGAAACACCGAAACAATAGAGGATGGAATGACACGACACGAAATAAGGGAGTAAAACCGTGACTAGGAAAATGAGCGGCCAGCGAATGTGTGCAACAGAATGAATGAATAACGGGAGGAAGAGCGAGGGACTCACCGGGTAGGCCTTCCTCGGCATGGGGGCTGGAGGCAGAGGCTGACCTATGGAGTTCTGGGGGCATCCTGGCACTTCCTTAGCTGGAACAGGAAACAGGAAATTGCGTCACAACGACAACAAAACTCTCCACGTTTCCAAAGAAGAGACAGGATCTGACCGATAGCACAGCCACTTTTAAACACCCATCGACTCACCCGCTCTTTCAATAGATTCTGTTCGGTTTAGAGGTCCTCTGTTGAAGCTCTTATCGTTGCTGCAAAGAGGAAAAAAATGTTCCCATCATCAGAGTCACATAAAGACACAGAGCACTGTCGGCTCGCTAACAGATTTATTGCAGCTCTGTGGGAGATAAAAGACAAAAGGACGACGGTGGAGGAGAGCTACTGCTCGTCTGGCTCGATGCAGATCTTAGCCTGGAAGCTAATGAAGCGGCTAAACAGCAGCCGTGTATTCTCGCCGCTCACGGGAAGTAGGCGGCGCATTACAAGAACAACACGACGCACAACCCTGGGGTAGAGCAAGATGTTCCTCCGTGTAGGAAACTAGTGTTTTCCTGTGAAGCTGGAGAGTCACTGTGACGTGTCGTTTGCTTATGCATACATGTGTTTTTATCATCTTACCCTGCAGGAGATTTGGGCGGCGCTGTCCTGGACGCCAGCGGCCCCTGACTGGACTTGGACTGAATGCTCATCGCTTCCATCTTCGCCACAGGAGCGAGACCCAGAGCTGGAACACACAAAATGCTCAGTTTCATATCTGTGAAATCTGAATATTCTTGTGTGATGAGAATGTTTTGCAAACTGTCGCTTCCAAGGTCAAAAATGAGCTTTTAATCTCAAAAACAATCACTACTTGTTGCCTTTGGCGAGAAGCTGCGCGTCTCGCAGTAATGACTTTGTTTGTCCTCCGTAATTAATACAATCTATTCTGTTTTTGTTCATGTAGTCGTTTACTGTGAGAATCAGAGGGAAACGTTTAAATCAACACACCGAAGTGGAAAATTAAAGGAGCTAGTCAAACGCTTGCGTTGACTTTAGGACAGATTTTTGATCATCAAAGCTCATAAAGAAGAAAAGAAGAAAACAACACTTAACTGAACTGATCCTATAATGATAGTCCTATGCTAACATGCCTTCACAATGGCAGTGGTCACATTTGAAAATAGCAAAAAGGTTCATCAGAGTTTAGCTCTCACAGCTGTTTAACTGAAAAATAAACGAGCCAGGTGCACATGGTACCTCCGGTTGAAGTGAGCCTCATCGGGGGTACGGGCGGGTGCATGTTGGGGGGGTCCGAGGACGACCTCTGTCGACCCACCAGGTCTAAGGAACCGGGCTTCCAGCTGCTGGACGCTGACGACTGACTGATCCCCCCCAGACCGGCTAGCTGGACTAAAGGAGGTGGAAGAGGAGAAAGGATTGTTAAAGTCAGAGAGAATGCAGAGCACGTTGCCAGAACCAGCGTTCACTGTAAAAGTCAAGTCGTTTCAGCTGGAGTGTAATTGAGAGCGACGGTTAATGGGGAGAGGGAATGTGCTGAGGCCGGTGGGGGGGGAGGAGGAGAGGTGGGCAGCTGGTTGGTTCTAGCTCTGATCCACTGGCAGCTCTCCAGACAGCCACTAAGAGTAATAAAGACGGACTGTGGGGAACTTGTCACTTGTCGGGGAACTTAAAGAACTAGAATGCATCCATCTGCCTCCAGTGTGACTTTGCTCACAAACATGTGAAAACGAGATTGTTCCTGGAGGACATCTTTTATGAATATAACTTCCCCAAAGAGGGCAAAGAGGCTGGATTCAAGTCAGACAGTTTAGCATCCATAAACTTTACCAGATTAGTTACTGTAGGAATGCTGCATGTTGCTCTCAAACTAGTGATCGACTGATGTGGGTTCTTTAGGGCCGATACCGATCACAGTGCTGCCCGTTTATTATCACACCCTCAGTCCAGGATGGAATTATTATGACTGTATCCAGGATATTCCAATACGCGGGCTTCAAGATAGAGCCGAGTTTCTAGCCTATGAACTGGACCAGCACTATCTACACGGCCTATGTCGGGTGTATTTAGCATGTATTTGGGAGATAACGTATTTAACTGTTCATGATTAACTAGATGAGCAGTTCAGTTACGAGTGACGACATGCTCTGCAACAACTGTCTTCCATGTGTCCTAATTAATGTCAGACAGTGTGAATAACTCAGAAGCAGATCTCAGGTGAGCAGCTAATCGACAAACAAACAAACATGCTGCCTTCCACGGCTGACTGGGGTGTGATAGTCGACCGACGCTCGGCCCGTGAGCCGTAACAGTCGGCCGACCGTGACTTTAAACGGGCAAAAGTTACTCCTGGAATCAATTTCGGGGAATTTCGTTATAACAAAAACCAGGATTATGACATTATTCTATGACCATAAACAGGCTGTTTTGCTATAAGTTATATAGGAAATGATTTTGATATTTTGTGATTATAAACGGGATATTCTATAAAGCGGTGTGACATTAGGTGGGCGACACTGTATTGGTCATCAAGAAAGACAAAACAGTGATGTTTACAACTGACATACATTAAATGTTAACAGCTGTCATTCATAACTAAGCTTCTTCAACTTTAAGGCAGCTGCTAGCAAAAGGAACAACACAGGATGCTAAACGTTCTCTTCTGTTTACTGATCGATCGATTTGAGATCGAACAGTTTGTCTCCTACAGTTCCATCCACTGTGCGTCTCTGTTTTTCATCTCACCCAGAGTAGCACATTTAATGTAATCAGTTAATGAGAATAATCGACAGTCAGTCTTTCTTGACCACAAACACTTCCACTCGGTGATGCTGCTGTGTCTGCTTACCCAGGTTCCTCGGGGGCAGCGGCGGGGCCGAGGTGGTGGCGGGCTGAGGGGGGTTGGTGTTGAGGATGGTGCCGTACGTCTCGTTGTTGACCAGGTTGGGCATGTAGGGCCGCTGCTTGTCCTTGCCGAGGCCGTCGCGGCCCGCCGAGCTGGACGGGAGGTGGGAGTTGCTGCCCGGAGTGTAGCAGCTGACCGGACGCTCGTCTCTCCGGTGGGGGCTCGGCTGGAGGGGCAGCGGGGAGGCAAGATGTGGTTAACAGCCTGTCGTACTAAACTTCTGCCATTTATGGTCTCGCTTTTGATTTAAAACCAACTTTATTTTATTACTAACAAGGGAAAAGAAAACATCTTCACTGGCTTCTTCGAGCTGCTGACTCTTCACACCTTTTCCTTCTGTGCTGGATCTAAAAACTAACAATCTGCAGCATCCCAGAGGCCTGGTGGTGAAGACTCACATCACTGTGATCGCCGGTCTGATTCCAGCCATTCTCTCCTCTCTCTCATCTCCTTTCCTGTCATCTTTCTATGGCCCACTTTAAAATCAAGCTACAAAACGCCCAATAACACACTCGGGAAAACAAACAGTCAGCGCATTACGACACAAAGCTGCACATCTGTCAAACCAGCGTGAATATACCGAGACGTTTCTACCAATTATCACAGCTTCCTGCAGCAAACAATCCAGAACCAAGACTTTTAGGTCAAACAAAAGCACTCCAACCACCCACTGCCTTGAAACTAGTGTATAAACAACACCCAGGACACTCTTCTTGCACCAAACTGAGCCGTTCACACGATGCTTACTGTCAAACAGAGATCTTATATAATTATGCCCTTTGACAATTACACCATTTTCTTTTACAATAGTCTTGCTTTAATGGTCGTCAACTGCACTTCACGTCGAGGAATAATAACAAAAGCAGCGTGAGAGCAGTGAAACAGCATCACACTCAAGTACAAAAGGAACAATTTTAACTTTTAGAGGACAAGTGGTTTTACTAATTGGTAATAAAATAAAATAAAACAATCTTTTGCAGAAAGTTTAAGGTCTCATCAGCCTCAACAAAAGCCTTCTTTTAACATTTTCTAATCTCAGAACCATCGCTCACCTTCTCGTCCAGATCCTCGTCGCTCTCGTCCAGGTCTTCATGCTGGAGGCACCACTCGTACTCGACGTGGACGTGGGCGTTGAATTTTCCCGCCAGCGCCTGATTCAACTGCAAACAAACGCACGCACACATGCAAATAACTCTCGGACGGTTTCAGAAATCACAGCGCTTGCTTGCAGGCGTGAGCCCGGTCTAAACATAGCACAGCTCACCAGCTCCTCGCACTGTAGGTGTTTGAGCCTCCGAGCGATATCCAGCGGCGTCTCCCCGGCCTCATTAGCTGCAAGGCAAACACAACAGAAACATGTAATCACTGCTGGCTCCGCACGAGGACAAACACGCAGCCCGTTCTCTTTGCTTTCTCTTTCGCCGTGACATGAGAAATGTGTAATTAAAGCGTTTCCCACACTGAGCGACTCTCTGGTTTCTCCCCTCTGTCCTTTTTTTTCCTGTTATCTGGGTTGTGTTGTTGGTTTCGGAGAGGAGCAGACAGATTAGCGTTGTGAGAAAAAGTCGCCACGGTCTGTTTTCAAGGGCCACAATTCTGGGAACTAAACCTGAACGAGTGGGAACAAGAGCTGTTTGTGTGTGAGAGGGCGAGACGATGAGAGGGAAAAGAAAAAGTGTGTGAAAGACAGCGTGCATGTTCACAGCAATATTATGTTAGAGCTCTACTGTGGAAAAAGTACATGCAGCAAGTACTTATAAACTGAATGCACCAAAAATATTAAACACAAGAACTTATTATATAGAATGTTTTGTATTTTATAATACTGATGCATGAACACATGAGCAATACTTTAGCAGGCGTCATAGTGCGAGTTTAATCTGCAAAATCTCCAAATTTATGAATTAAAATAAGTCTACAATCTTAAAACTTTACTTCCACTGCAGTCTAGATGTTCCAGCCTGTTCTAGACATGACCGACTATATCATGAAACAAGACACCAGGGTTATAAAAAGCTTTCTGCAAGAAGATAAAGCTTAGATAAGAGGTGGAACCATCAGAGTTTGCATATGATTTGTATGAAAATGATCTGCAAAGTGTGCACAGTAACCAGCACCTGGAGCTGTCAGGGGAGTAAAAGGTAGAATATTTTCCTCTCAAATGAAGGAGAGTGGAAGAAAGAAGGAGCAGAATGTGGAAAAACTGATGAAGTGATTATCTCAGAACTGTAAAGGGCAAAGATAGATAGTAGCTGCATTGGTGTGTTTCCTCACCGATCTCTATGGAGGCCTTCCCCCTCAGCAGCAGCTTCAGACATTCGCTGTTGTCGGTCAGGCAGCAGTAGTGCAGCGCCGTGCTGCCTTTGGCCGTCTGCTTGTCCAGATTTAAACTTCAAGAGGGCACAGACGGAGAGAGAGAGAACTATTAAATCCAGAGGATAAATAAAATGAAACCTTGCTTCCTCCATTAAACATCTAAAGTCGGGTTATCTCCGCCTCTGGTTTCATTCTGGTTTTAATGAGAACAACAAAGGAGCGAATACTGACAGGAAGTCAAATGAAAACGCAATTATGCAAATAGCTTCGACCTGAAGAGAGACGGGAGAAATAAGCGGATGTCAATAACCCTCATCAATAAGCCCATAAATCCACTAAGAGGCCTTATTTGTCTTTTTATGGCTTATTTAATGTTTGCTGCATCATCACGTTGGCTGTGAACCCATTCCAACTTATTGACGACTGGTTTCCTTCCCGCCGTGCTCACCTGTTCTGGGTGAGGAAGTCGACGATGTGCAGAGACGTTCTGTCCACCAGCCTGACCGCCAGATGAAGGGCCGTCTCTCCTTGTTCCTGAAGATCAAAAACATCGTGAACACGAGGCGTTTTTCAGGGATGCAACAGACAAGCCTACACGGGACGGCGAAACATTGTGCGCACTGACATGCCCGTTGGCCAGAGGTATGGGCTCCATGAGGTCCACTCCCTCGGCGTAGACCTGGATGAGGGAGAAGATGTCTCGAGCCTTCACGGCGTCGCACAGCGTGTGGAGCCGCGACGTCGGGTCGGGACACTTCTTCCTGGCGAAGCGCTTCTCCGTGTACTTGGCTGTGATGAAGTCTTTCCTCGCCTGCCTGGTGGAGAACAGACACACAGATGTTGTGTTAGAGCTGTGAGATCTTTTGTACGATTCATGCCTTTTAAAGTAGAGAACCATAATGATATTGGTATTATTAATACTGGCTGGTGAAAGCTTCGACCCAATCGAGCCAAAATTTAAACTGGCAGGCAGATGATTCAGCCAAACTGTTTGGTTTGAAATTTCTATATAACAATAAAAATGTTCTACACAAAAGTTTAAGCCATTATTTTTTTATTTTGTCCAGCGAATGTCCAAACCTGGAACACTCGGCATAATATGAAGAGTTCATTTGCAAAAACAGATAACTCCACCTTCACAAACCTTCAGGAAACCCCCTTTTCCATCATCTACCTGAGACAATATCAATCAAACTTAAGTTGTTTCTATTTTTGTCAACTTCAGTCTAACATTATCTCAAACAACAACAACAAAAACAAGTTTCCTGAAAATCTACAAAAATGGAGTTATCTGTTTTTGCAAATAAACTCTTCAGATGTTGATTCCACCACAGAGTCCCTCCTGCAGTGGAATCAACATTTGAAGAGTTAATGTTCTCTTCAGTCAGGTGGAAAAAAACGTACATCAGCATCAGTAGTCAGATATCAGATATCAGCACAAATCCAATCCAGAATGCATCCCTGCTTTACAGGAAAGCTCGTGTGTGACTGTGCACCGATCAGCAGCAGAAGACAATTCCAGTAAACTTAAACTCTATTAGATTTGTGTGATCGGCCGTCTGGATGCATGATTTAGTTTCATAATAATTTGGAAGGAAGAGCAGGAACACATCGGACATAAAAAGCCTGATACAGTGTTTGGTATTAAAAATGTGTTTCTTTATGATACACGTGTAATTTATAACTTCTTTGAATGAATTGA